TGATCTGCATGGCATAGAAGGGGATAGCACTGAGTTTTGAGTAGGAACATAAGGGTCGGGTCTAAGTGGTGAAAATTAATGACTTTTATTTTCTTTGTTTTATTTATCAGCTCTTATCTTCTGAGGAATTCTTGGGTGCACCTGGAGTACCATATCATCTATCCAAGGTGGTGCATTGGCCTAATGGATCAGTACCCATGTCCATAGACAGAATCAATGCTTGCATAGTAGCATTTTTGGTCCGAATCAGACTAGGGTGAACAAGAGCACTCTTTCTCCTTTACTTGTGTATCTCGATGGTATATTCTGAGGAATTCTTGGGTGCACCCGGAGTACCATATCATCTATCCAAGGTGGTGCACCGGCCTAATGGATCAGTACCCATGTCCATAGACAGAATCAATGCTTGCATAGTAGCATGTTGGGTCCGAATCAGACTAGGGTGAACAAGAGCACTCTTTCTCATTTACTTGTGTATCTCGATGGTATTTTCTATATAAACCATTTGGTTTCAGTTTGATTTACACAAAACTTATGTTATTGCTTCAAATAATATTGTATTATCTTGATTTCCAGAATGAGACCATAGCAGTGATGGTACCAAGGGCTAACCAATGGTTGGAGCAATTTGCAATTATCCTAAGGAGACCATTCCAACTTGACATTCATAATTATTCGACCATGTGGATGGAGGTTAGTTTATATTTTGCAGATTAATATCCTAAGATAACCTTCCCCACCGTAAAGTATTCTTTTTTAACTAGGCTCTAAAGTGCTCGAAGAAGTTTGTCCAAATGCTTCCAGCTATTCCCGAAGATGAGCTTCCCAATAAGTTCTGACAGTTTTGTTAGGTGATATTTACTTATGAATCTTGCATTCTAGTTAACTATTTTACTGAACTGGTTACTATTGTAGATGTCTGGGATTCTTTTTGGCATACATTCGACAATGCCGTTGGATTTTTTAGGAACTCAGAGATCAGTGAGGTGGATGATTCATTTGTCATTCAGGTACAATTTCACTTATTCTTATTTCCTTTTTGTTATTATGGAACAACCCTCATTACTCCTCTACTGTTGCTTATGCATTATACCTTTATTGCTACTATAGACCTACAGTGCTACTGCATTATTGTTACCACTTCTTTATTTGGTTCTAATTCTTTTTTGCAAATTGTGTAGAAAGTGAAACCCTAGCTTTCATGTTGAGAGAATGTTATTGATTCTTTTCCTAAGTGGATTTTCTTTCATGAAGATTTTGTTGTTCTTGTTGTTTGGCTCTCTGATCAACAGTTTGATTGTGTTAGACACTCTTTGTTGGATTGAGTAGGGGAATTCCCTTTTGAGGTTGTTGTCCGATGCTGCTCTTTTTCTTCTCCTGCATCTCCTCTCCTTTTCTTTATGATATAAAGCCTTCTTCTTCTTTCTTTAATTTGTACGCCAAATCTCTGTTTTTTTTCCTTGTTGCTGCAGCTGAATCGTTGTAGTTTTTTTTCCTTATATGAACTCAGAACTAACAAGGAAAATGAGACTCTTTTCTCGATCAACTCATTCGTTACAAGAGTCAATTCTCGTGGTATCTGTATTTTTGGTTTGTCACGAAATCCAACTACTATCAAAAGATTTAAGGGGTTGCTTTTTGAATTTGTTTTATTGCTTCAATTACGTTGGTTATTCCTGATAGCTCTTTGAAGTTATTGATGTACTGTTTCTTGAGATAATAGAGGACAATTAGACCGTATAACTCGCATACTTCAACTCTTAACTAATATTGTCTCAGTTCTTCGACCATTTCTTTGAAGGGTTTGTGCAACTACAAGTAACAATGGAAAAATAAATAAGGCAGTAGTGTAATGTAGGTTTGAGAGTTTTATTCTATTGCTTTACACAATTTCATTGGATGCAGCTTTTAGAGTTCCTCTCAACGGGTCGTCGCAATGCAAAGCCGGAAGAGGTGAAGAATCACACTCACTTGTATTTCTAGTTCTTATGGATGACATTTCAATCATTATCTAGGGTTGTAATAATGAAAGGTTTGAAATTTTGTAGGTCCTGTTGAGCAAGACTTTGCAGGAGGTGTTACCTCAAAATCAAAGAGTTTCAGAGCTGGTTTGTATTACCATAGAGCTTCTGCAAGGAGTTGAGGACGATGAGGATGACAAGGTGAATATGGCCGATGAAGATGATGAGAACTATATGGACCTCGATGATGACGATATAGTTTATGATCGTCTTGTTACGGGTAAATAAACTTTTCATATTCAAAATCTATGGTGTCTAAGAATGTGGTTGATAATTATGCATTGTGCTTTTTTGCCGCTTGGCAAAGTCAGTCATTGTCTTGAAATTCCATGTTGCATGTAGACTTCTACTAGAAGAAATATGAACTGCCTTTGGTGAAGAAGCCCTGAAAGTCATCGGAGATACTGTTGAACAACTTGTTAGGGAGTCTGATTCCCTTAAGGTAAGAGCAAACCATTTTCGATTATTTGATTCTATAAGAAAATGTTATCTTTGGTGTAGTTACGGATAATAAACGTGTTATACGGGTTTTATACGTGTTTAGTACGGGAGCCATCAAATGAACGAGAAAAAATGAAACGGCTTGACAATAATACGGATACAAAAGTTTTGAACGGATAAAGTACGTACGGATACATATATATGCATTAAACGGAGTATTTTACTTAATAGCAAAGACATAAACTCATAATGGGCTACAAAATATCACATAATGGGCCAACAAGAGTACAAGACCCGCTCCTGAAATTAAAAAAAAAAAAAAAAACTGGCCCATCGCAAGCCCGTGATTTGTCGATCCAATTCCCAAGCACAATGCCGCAGTCTGTGGCCGTCACTCGCCTGCTTCTTCTCTTCTTCGCACTTACTTACTGCCCTAACAGCACCAGAGCATTCAGCAAGTTCCTCAACGGAACCCGCTAATTATGCCTCTAACTAATCAATAAGAAATCGAGACGAGCCTCGCAATCAGTAGCAGCTTCCCATCTGCTTCTTCTTCTTCTGTTCAACTCGGATCCTCGTCCTCATTCTTCCAGCTCAACTGATTATCATATTGGCGTTTAATATCTTGGTTTCGACTAAAGGTCGTGTAATTTTGGACAATTAATTTGGGGAAATGATGGTCACTAAATCAGGTGATTCAATGACAGAATAAATGGAGCAAAGTGCAGAAAAATCGTGGGATATGGAATGAGGGATTCCAGATTGGATGTTAACGAGACTAAAGGTGGTTTCCTACTTGCGATTCTTATAATTCATGTATTCTTTGAATGCACAGAACTAATGTGCATAATGTTTGTATTCCTTGATTTCGTTCTTACTTCAATTCAAAAGTCAACCATCTATCTTGATCGTGTCTTTTCTATGGGTCATTGTCCTCAATAAAGTGTTTATAAATTTTTCGAAACAACTAAACATGTACTCTTTGTGTCTCGTTGTGTTATTCGCAGATGAAAACACCTTCCGTGTTTTTGTTTGTCACCAACATTTCTACATATCCGCTCACAAGTCACCACAGACTCCTCGGCTCGCTGTCCAAGCCCATTTGTTAGTTTCATTCCTCTTCGACCAGCGGTCCTCTACTCGAGCACGACTTCGACAGTGCAAATACTTAAATAAATCCCAACAATCAATTCTCTAAGACCTATCACTTTTCAATGTTGTTTCAGCATATATAAATACTCATATATTATCATATGAGTGATAGCTCCTCTTGAACTGAAAGTGCTTGATTGATAAATGATCATCTATCTGTTATACTATTGTGTGGCGGCACCGGCTTATGACGTTTGTGTTAAAAATTAAAAATAAGAAATGTCGTTTAAATAAATTCACGGGACGGCAGAAACAAATCAAAAAGAGGGAATTTGGTGGGACGACAGCCGCCTATTGAAGGAGGACCAAGAACTTCTCCGACCACAAACAAAATTGAAGGTCCAGCCGCTTCTGGAGGCGCCAAAAAGCCGCACTGGTTGCTTGCTTCTCTCTTCTTCAGGGCTTTACGGGCCAAAAAAAAAATCATTTCTTACCAACCAAAACCATAAAAAAAAAAAAAATTTAAGAAAAGAGAACTTCTGAAGCCAGAAACCCACATGAGCTGTCGCCGTCGGGGCCATGAATGAATAAATCAGGATTTGATTGATGACTCACTCACTATTCTACTGTTTCCTCTTCTCCTCTCCTCGCTTTTCTCTTGTGTAGAAAAAATTATATTATATATTTTTGTATTGATATGAATTTTATGTATTCTGTTAAACAAAGGCGGCAACAGACTCGATCGATCGGATGGGTTCGAATCAATGGTTGGTCCGACTCCGATCACCGACCCAAAGCCACTTGGTTTCTAATTTTCCTTCCATTTTTATTTGAGAAGAAATATCTCACATTAGATCAATTTTCAAGGTTGACAAATGACAATTAAACTAGAGGAGCCTAGCTAGCTAGTACTGCCTGGTTCTCAGACCATCCCAATGGTGCAAATGAGGTGAATTGCAAACCTATGTGGCAGAGGGATGAAAATGAGAAAGTGGTTTGTATTAGGGGTGGCAGTCTGTCGGTTTTGGTTTAACCAAAAACCAAAAAACTCGGTTATCGGTTAAACCGAGCCACCCCCTATAGGTTCCGACCACCGACCGTGAGATGTGTCACGGTTAGCCGGCCAACCGACCGGTCGGTTTCGGTTTAAGGCACGGTTAACCGGCCAACCGGAAAATGTAGCTTTTCTATAAAAAAAAAAAAAAGAAGAAAAGAAATATTCTGGACCACTCACTCCTAATCCCTCTCACTTCTCTCGATTCTTCTTCTTCCTTTCTTCCAGAGAAACCCGCCGGCCCTATCCCTCTCACTTCTCTCGATTCTTCTTCTTCCTTTCTTCTTCCTTTCTTCCTTTCAAAATCAGTGATAACAGTAGCGAGAAGGAGAGACCAATTTTCAATTTCTCAAAATCCAATCAGAAAGAGAGCGGAAACTCACGAGCCAGATTCAACGGCGAGCATCGGCGTCGGCGGTCTCAGAAGAGGAAGGTTCGTTGTTGTCGTCGTCGGTTTTGAATGAGGGGAGAGGATTACCGCCTTTGATGACCCACCCGAGGGCGAAGAAGGAGAGGCCGGCGAGAATCGCCGAACCCCAGGTTTGAGCGCCGACGACGATGGTGGTGACGAACGAGGAGAAGGAGAAGGAAACGGCTCGGAGTGCCGGCCAGCCTGCTCTCGACGACGATGGCGGAGATGAAGGAAGCAGAGGCGGGGAGGGGCGTTTGGACTTTGGAGCAGCAGGCGCGGAGGTCGGTGGTGAGAAGGGGGAAGGGCTGGTCGGTGGTGACTAGTGAGAAGGGGGGAGATGAAGGGAGGAGATGAAGTGGAAGCGGCGACTGATTTGGGGGAGGAGTCTTAAGGTTAGTGGGGGCGTGGGCGGCGTCGTTTAAGGGGGAAGGGCAGGGGTCGGTTAGCCGGTTAACCGCCGGTTTCTGACCCCGGTTAGTCGGCTAACCGGGCCCCTGATAATCCCCACCGCCAACCGACCGCCCTCTTCGGAATCGGTTTTTCGGCTAGCCGAAAACCGATCGATTCGGTTGAAACCGACCGGTTAGCCGCTAACCGGAAACCGTCCGCCAGCCCTAGTTTGCATTGATGTGACATCATTTGCAAATGGTGCAAATTTGCACACCATGCAAATTGGTATGCAATTGCAACAGGGCCCCACCAATTTGTCTTTTCTTTCTTGTTCATTTGTTTTTTTCTTTCTTGCTTCCACCACCGATTATATGTTGTATATATATTTCTTTCTATCCTTCCTATCACATACACATATGTATATGTATTTAGTTAATGGTAACAATAATCATTTTTGTATAAATAAAACAATACTACAAACAAACCTTAAAGATTCATATATACTTTAAAGTATTACATCTGCAAAGTACAAATTGAAAAGAAAACACACTAAACACGTTAAGACAACTAATCAATACATAAGATATTTTATATAATTAGTAACATTAAATTTGTAATTATATTTATTGACTTTAATTGATACTAGTTCTCAATGCCCGCGCTCCGCGCCGGGATGTTAGATACTAAAGGGGTAATTTTTAATAAATTCAGCATGAAAAAGATAATATAGCAACCAAAATGTTACACATGTTGATCAGTTCACATTAAAAGAAGTTGGATGACCTGCAGACAATTATGCAACACACTGATTGCAACCTATACAAAGTACAAACATCAGACATCAATGAATAGATATAGTGAAGTAATTCTTGGATATGAAGGATGCTGCATTTTTCATGAGCATCTCTGTCTTCACTATTTCATGGGCATCATTGTCTTCACTAATTCAATTAGTATCCAACATATATATAAGCAATAGCAGCAACCATAGGTCCATCCCACCCTCTCCACCCTGCGTGTATACTTGAGACAAATATTGAAACCGATGAAAGATCAATGAAAACTGACAGGGTTGGTTTAAATAGAAAACTTGATTTAAGTATAATCTCTTTCTCTCTTCACGTTTTATGAGATGGTGCATACAAAACTCTAGATTGAAAACAAACATTGCTTACCTTCTATGAACTATTTCAGATTTATTTAACAACCTTGGCAAAACTTTAGATTAAACCAAGGGAACGATGAACAATTATTTAAGTAGGCGAAATAATTAATCAACCCACATAGAGTTGATAGAGAATGAGGAACACTATTAGTAGGCTTATCCAAGTTATTCAAGATCTACTAAACTACAAAGGCGTACATATCCTAAATCGAGCACAATTGTTTAAAAGCATCTGTCACAAGTTGCCGTAGGAGCAAAATTAAACCTTTGGGGCTTGTAGCTTGTAAGTGGCATCACAAACCAATCCAGACCCTCCTGTAATGGTTCCATGTAGTTATCTATCAAGGTACAATCAATGAGAAGAAAACAGGGTGTTAGTTGACAACCACAAATTATTGCAGCTAATAGCCATGTCTTCTCAATCAGTAAATACCCAGGAACGATGCTATTTATACCAATGACTAAACATCAAAACCACCTGTACCTTCTGTAATGAACTTAAGGTGCGAAACACATCCTTTACATTTCAAATCACCATGTAATAGTACTAACTCGACAAACGAAATGCTGCACACTTGGTATTATATCAAAGAAAGAGGAAAAGGTAAAACAATTACAAAGAGATTGCATGAAATCTCACCCCAAAAAGTTCCTTCACAAAGCTAGCTTGCATACAGCAAGCTCTTTATATGATCCAAGAACGCACCTTCGGAAGCAAATATATTAATGTTAAATATACACAACTGTACAATTAATTAATGCATATAGGAGCATGAGATCTGTAGCCTGTAGCTGCCTTACCTCATCAATCGCTACGAAGTTTAAGGAGATTGTCCACTTCAAAACACAGGATCGCCCTCTTACGCATCCACCACACACAAACCATGGAGCAGAAAAGAGAAAACTGGCTAACATGACAGGGGTAGAGAGAGGCGAAACATATAAACAGAACCATCAAGGAGAGAGAATAACCTTCGTCGACATAACGGCGATGATCATGCGAACCCTCAAGCAGTCCGGCAGATCTGCAAGTTGAAGGGTAAAGATAATGGAATCATAATCCACAGAGAGTAGAGAATTAAAAGAAGAACAAAATAGCGAATGCGCTCACCGAAACCCGCAGATATGGTAAGAATAAATTGAAAAGAGAAATAGACAGTCGGCCAAGCCACACAGCTCTGGGATTCCCCCATCGCTCCCTGCTGGTTCTAATGGCCACCACCATCGTTGTTGTTCCGTCAGCTTCAACATCGTCGTTATGATGCGGTTTTGAAACTGTGGGTGAGAAAGAGAGGTATCAAGAAGAGGATTTCTTTTTCTTTTAACACCTGCAACTGCAAGTGATGGGTGAAGAAGAAGCATTGTCAGATTGGATGGGAAGAGAGATGTAGGAAAGAGAAACTAAAAGGCAAGTGTTGAAAGAAATTCTCACCATCCTTAACAACTGCATATCGATCAACTCCCCACCGTTTGCCTCATCTTGAGGAATCTCAGCTGAAAAGTAATCAAAACCCTTACTGTGAAGGAACCCATGAAAAAAATGACCAAAATCATGAACGACAGAAAGATGGAAGAAGCCAGAATATTACCCGAGTATCTGGGCATTCTTTAATTCTTCTTTCTCGTTCTTGTGGCCGTATACCCGTGCCGAGGCCGCCCTCATGAGCTCCCGGAGGTCCTCGCCGCCGCCGTTGGAGGTGGAGGCGGCGGCGCTGAGGCTGCGGGGCAAGGAGGTGAAGTGGCTGGTGTGGTAATTAGGGACGCGGCGGCTGCGGCTGCTGGGGTTGTGGGTGGCGATGGTGCCGCATCCCGTGAGGCTTCTGACGTAGAGATCCCTGGCCCTGCCCAGCGCCCGAATCGGGCAAGTTATTATCCTGAGGACCACGTTCCTGTTCTGCCCTGCTTTCGATTTCATGGCGGCGGCGGCGGTGGATTGGCCAAATTGAAATCCAGGATCTGCTGGGGGGCTTCGAGATCGTCTCATCTTCCAAACTGAGATGTGAGAAACCATTGCAGATAAAGAAAGGTTGGATAGAAAGAGAGGGGGAAAAGTGAGAGAGAAAGAGAGGGGAAAGGGCATTGCATCCGCCGGAACAAATTTACGGGAATGAAAGAAATAAGGAGAGGCCGATAAGACCACCACCACCTAAAACAGCGTGAGAATCTATCCCCTTTCTACCTCTCTATGAGGATGCACAGCTTCCCAAGAACCCCTTTAGAACACGAAAAGGCAAGGGAAAAATTAAATGCATAATATTGGATGCATTTAGTCTCCATTAGCAAATAGCAACCCTTCCTTTCCTTTCAGTCTTTGAAACGAAAGCAATCAATCAAAAACTGGTCTCCATCAGCAGGCCTCCGTCCCTCTTCCACTCTCCGCATTCTGACATGCAATCGAATCACTCAGAAAGCACCATATGGAGGAAAGTCTCCCAGTGACCAACGCGAGTGGAACTGAGTTTCAATTTGCAGCAACTTTTTTCCCCTTCTCTCAGCATCCTCCAATCCAGTCAAACTACCCATTACTGTTTCCGTGAATGGCCCACAATTCATTCATGGGTCTGTATCACCACAGAGAAACAAAGACAACCAGCCACTTCCTGCTTTTCTGACTCCGCACAGTAAACTATCAGGTGAATAGTAAAATTAAGTCTAAATAAATAGGAAAAACAGTCTGGATGTGCGAGCCCATCCCTCTCAATATATCTCTGTGTATCTGAAGAATCCTTTTCTGTCTCTCGAACGACTCATTTCTCCACTGAGCAGAACACCCAGAGCAACTGATTAAGCCTCGACCGGCGCACCCGCTAGGGGCAAAGTCACATACCGATCTCTGATTACCAACGCGCGTCCGGGCCACCAAACGACCCCAACTAAGGCCAACCAGAAGCTAACGACCAGTCCCACCCCGACCGAGCCCCCAAACTCCGTCAGATCCCAATGAGGCCTCACCCAAAGGTGTCTGCGTGTACAGTACCAGGGGCTGCTGTGGGTTTATTTCTTTCAATTAGTTATAGGAAGTTGCTAATTTAAGTTGAAAGGATATTATAATATTTTAGTAAAATGGTGGAGATAATATGAATATTGATTTGTATTAAAAAATAAGTAGGGCCCACAATTGCAATTGCAATTGCAAGTGGATGGCATTGATGTAGGTTGTATGAAAATGAAGAGTGAGATAATTGTTAAAGTTGATGATGTCGTAGTAGGGACTACACTTGAAATTGCATGTAGATGAAACCATTGGACTTTGGAGATGCTCTCATTCCTCGTAGAAGATAAGCTCATACGTATATATCAATAAAGAATGTCGTAGCACGTGCATGCAGTAATTACTAATTAGTGTAAGACCCAACCTAGCTAGTGTGCATGGTGCTCGTGCACCCGCGTCAGATCGAGTTGATTAATTAGTTAATTAATTAACAAGAGTCTTGTATTGTAATTAGTAGTTAGGTGTAGAACTTTGACACTTCTAACCACAATGTTTCCCTCATTTGATATGCCAAAGAGAGGACCCGAAATTTCCTTTCACTGGTCCAATTAATCTAAGTATCAAACGTTATGGATCATATTGCAAATTATGCAAACAAATAGCTGTTAAGGAGGCTGTTGATGTCCAACTACAACTATATATGTGCCCATCAAGGAAGGAGGAGGGTTTGGTCTACTGGTCATACCAGTAGTTTTAAATTTGGAGGTTTTAGGTTTGAATCCTTCGAGAAGTACGCATAACCGTAAATAGGCAAACCTATATCGCCCTTATAAAACAAAAGGAGGAAGTTACGAACAAGGGTTTGGCCTAGTGGTAATACCACTAGCCTAGAACTTGGAGGTCCCAAGTTCGAACCCTTTAAGTAGTACTTTAATGACAGCAAAATAAATCATATATCACCCTTACCAAAAAAAGAAAAAGAAGGAAGTTGCTGAAAAGAACCTGTGTCACACACTGCCATAAACCAGTTGGTCTCAATTATTCGAGTTGTTGTGAGAGGTCCATGGTACTTAACCACTTATTTACATACACCGACCTACTGAGCCAAACAAGATTGATCGTTTTCCGCTAGTGATGGATTGAATATGGCAAAATCAACCAATTTGAGGAGGACATCACTATTAAAGAAAGATATAAAAATTGAAGAGAGAACAAAATTATCTTGTCAAAATGATATATCATAGGTTAAATTCGATTATGCACATCATCAAGTTTTTTATAGCTAGGCCACACGAAGTTGACCACTATAATAGTAAGTCCCTGAATAACCATGAAATTTGACCAAACCATCCCAAAATATATAATGATATATCTAAACTGAGAATAACCACAAATTTAAAAGGTTCGAACAATTTTTTGATGCGTGTCATCTTTGCGCCGGAGCGGTTTGTTGATCTGCTGATCATATCAAGCAACAAAACCGAACCTTATCATAAAAGATGCTTCAATTCCTATCCATCCTTCCTCTTTGCTGAATGATGATGATGAAGGTCTACGTGCTTACCTGTATTTCTTTCGCCAAATATTACCATTTTGGGTTTGTTGCAGATACATTATTTTGTCGCCTAACCCAATAATTGAATGGTCTATAAACTAAATAACGCCACCCAAATCTGAACCCACTCAAATTCGGTAGGAGAAATGGAAGTAGTTAGGTTCGGACAATTGGGTTCATCATCCATACCTAAAAAAAAAAATTTGGGTTTGGACAATGGTTCATATAGTTGAGTAGTCTTGCCGACTTCGTTAGTTGTTTCTGCCTAATTTAACAAAGAGGGTACACACACATTCATCATTTATTCAAATTGTCGTCGTTTTGTTAGATATATAGCTAATTTCGAGTGAGATGTTCGTTTAATTTGTATATCGAAACAGAAATTCCATCGTTAACCTAACTTGCTCATTATAGACAGATGAGTATATTCGTTGTACTTATTATTTTATTAAAAAATTTTAAGCTTAAAAGTAATAATACAGGTTAGAGCACCGTTGTGTCACTCGATTTAGATACGAAAGAAGTGGTTCGGGGTTAAAACGGTAACCACCATTTAATATGGTGACTGATTTATAGTATTGAAATTGAACTTCTCCTTCGCCGAACCCCACTCCCTCGCCCTTTTCGGCGGTTCCTTTATTTCCTTCCTTTAGGTCAAAGTCGCGGTTAAATGACACAACTGCCCCTTATCTCCCTTTAAATCCCCGTCTTTTTCCAGCCCAACATTTCCCCCCTCCTCCTCCGTTTAGCTTTCCAGCAAGCAACCACCAACATAAAAACAAGAAACCTCTGCTCTGTTTCTTTCACATTTCTCCCCCACCCATTTCTTCTCTTCCCCCATTTAATTTACTCCCCTAAACTCTGTAGATTCAAATCCAAGCTCGGAGAATCAATAATCACTATTCATCAGTCCATCACTTCCCTCCTCCGCCGCTGCCGTTGACGGGAACAAAACAAAAAAACATGGAGGTTCCGATGATTAATAGAATAAGCGACTTCGAAGGCGGTGGGATAAACCCATCTGTAGTCGCACGAGCTTTTGCTACTTCCGGCATCGAGAGAATTTATCAGGCCTACAGTGTTGGGAAATGGGGCGCCCTAATGGTCGCCTTATTAGTCGCCTCCTTCACCACAATCGTCAGCCGAATTACAATTCTCCTGATTCGGTTCCGGCAGAGCCGCCCAATTTCCACGGCGGCGGCTCTGCTTGTCCAGGAAGAGTCCGATTACGACACCGAATCTGAATCCGGGTCCGAATCCGAGTTCTCAGACGACGACGAAACTGACGAGGAATTTGAAGAGGAAGAAGTAGATTCCGACGGCGATGAAGATTTCAGTGTGCGGGGGTCGTTGAAATTCAAGCGGCGGCTCCAGCGGCGGAGCAGCAGCAGCATTGGGGATTTTTTCTCTTGGCCGGAATTCGCGAACGGGACGACGAGCAGCGTGGTCAAGCTCTGGGACAATTTGGGCCTTGGAATGGAGGGAGAGGCGAATCTGCGGTCGATCTTCGGGGCAGGGAGCGAGATGCTCTTCCCCGGGGCGGCGGTTTCGGCGCCGGCGATGTCGCCGGCGGTGATAGTGTCGGCGGAGACGAACATGGCGGGGAACCTGCTGAGGGTGTGGGACAGTCGGGTCGGGTGCCGGATCCCGCAGATGCTGGCGGAGTGTCGGCCGAAGCTGGGGAAGATCGTCGGCGTCAACGCCGCCGGGTTTTTGGAGAAGGTGTACGTCAAGGAGGAGGATGACGTTAGGCGTGAGTTGACGGTGGCTGATATGAGAAAAAAGGCCCTGGTAGTAGGTAGCGTGACGGAATCTGACGCCGTTATCACTGGCGACGAGTCATCGTCGTTGCGGCGGCGGTGTTAAGATGATTGGGGCTTAGCTGGGTTTGGGCCTGGAATGGCCCAAACCCAAACAGGGATTTCTCTGTTTTTATTTTTCTTTTTCTTTTTTGGAAAAAGGGAAAATCAGACAGGGTGTCTCTCTCTTGTAAATAATTCATGGATTTAATAAAATAATTAGCAGCTAAATAAGCGCTGACTGATTCCAGTAAATTAAGTTTGCCTGATGTGACCGCTAATCAAGTATTTAACTTTCGTGTTATCTCTTCTCTTGGCTACTATGACCTTTCGTGTTTTTTTATGATTAGTCGATTACTGTATTTTCTTGTGTCATTTTCACTTCTGTTGAAAGGTCTCTCGAACCAACTTGAGGGTTACATCTCCCAATTTCTTAAGAGGGTTGTTTGGAAGAAGAAAAAAATGTAGTTGTGATTTTCGTCCACACGTCTAACACAGTGTATAATATATATATTGTTAATTATTCATTCCATGAGCTGTACACGACAACAATAACAATTCAAGAAAGGAAATAATTTTGGTCATATTTGGTTTTTTACGGGTATTATACTATTATTATTGCCTTGTTCTTTCGCTGCAACGTCGAGAATTATTTTGTATTGATCAACCGACCGTATTTTTGTTGGTCTTCCAACAACCACAAAGTTAGGCACATGTGAAATGGGATGATATGAAACTGAGATGAAGTTAGGAGGAATTTTACAATGCTATATAGTATTGGTGCTATAGGTTTTTGTCTTTATGGTACAACTTAAAATTGTACATTTATGTTATGGTATAATTTCATATACCTATACTGTTTGTACAAATTCTTTTATGGTACAACTTGAACTTGTACCTTTATGTGATGGTACAACTTCAAGTTGTAAAGTTGTACCATAACATAATGGTACAAATTTTTTTATGGTACAATCTAAACTTATACATTTCATGTTATGGTACAATTTTAAGTTGTACATTAAAGCACCAATACTATACTATATAGCATAGTAGAAATGCTCGTGAAGTTAGGGGGGGGGGGTTGGCGTTTTGCAGCAGGGGCAAAACTATGTAGGGACGTGAAATTGAAATAACAGTAGAGCGGTGTTTGTTTGGACGAGAAATTCTAATGGATCAATATTATGTCATTGTCTCGTTTGGAGATAATTGGATCAAATTGGCCCGTTAGACAATATAAAATTCGGATGGAACAATTGAGGCAATTGAACTTGTTAGGGGTAGGGTCAAGCATTTCGAACTGGCTCATATTGTAAAACGAGACGATTGACTAAACTATCTCGTTTTTTCACCATTCCAATAAAGATTTTGAACCTCCTGCAAATAATAAAGGGTACCCAATAATAAATCATAAATATAAGTTTGTAGGAACGATTTGTTGATTGATTTCATTAATAAATAGGAATATAAATTGTGAATTACATAAGGTTCAAAAAGGCATTAGGTGTAAGGAGGGCGTTGGAACCTTGTCTAGTGTATATATATAGCTCGCCTAAGCATTGTCTAAGCGTGCCTAGATGCTGGAAGCAAAAATAAACTTTAGTACTAAATGATGAATGAAGTAGTTGTTTTACAACACTTCTACTTCACGTTAAATGATACATAACTTATTTAACACTTAACAATAATAAAAAAAATAGCTCAAAACTTTTAGAATCTAGGTCAACAGTTCACAAAGATTTTGAAGTAATGGAAATACCGAGAGAAAAGATTTGAGATTGTATATGTTGTTAATTTCTCGTTTTTAATACTAATTGTCTAGTTCCTTCCAGTTACACCTAGGTTTGGTCCATATGTGCGGCTGCGTTCAAAATGCCTAACCTGCTACGGACCTCTAAGTAGGGCTGGGAATTCATACCAAACCGTATGGGAAACCGCGGTCTAGACCGTATCGTATGGTTTGGTCTGGACCGTGAGACCAGAACGATGGTCTGGTCTGGTTTGCGGTCTCCTCCTTTAGTGCGTGGTCTGAAGTAGTCTGGACCGCGGTCTACCGCAGTAACCCGTAACAGACCGCGACACACTACCTACTACCTTGGACAAAAATAACACTAAATTCAACCTCCATATGTGTATTTGAAGAACAAAGTTAGTTGATTCTTCATCTAGTTGAGAGCCAACAAATTGCAAAATGATCGCTTATATGTTATCTCCTTATCAAAGTACCACACAAAAATTAGAAAGACTCAAAAATAATATTCACAGATAATGTCTAGACTATGGAGTCGATAAAAATTAAACACTACAAAAAAATTCGTTCACCTTGATGAGATAAGGAAAATTATTGAGAGATATGCGACCATCTTAGTGGTTCGAAATTACCTCGACGTCATCAAAAAGGTTATCAACTGGGAGAACCTTCAGATCACTCGAGAGAGGAGAGAAGCGGTAGCACAAAGAGGAATAGGGAAATAAGGCTATTTGAAAATTGAAAAAACCCACTTCTATCCTCATATTTCTTCTCATTTAATACGATCACAATGTTTTTGTTTCACTAGCATATTGGTCACTAGATTTTTTTTATAGATACCGGTGAAGGGTTGGAGGGCGAACAAGAGTTAATTTTTTTTAACATGGTCTGTCTGGTCCAGACCATACCGGACCGCACCGCACAGGTGTGGTCTGGTCTGGACCGTATAGTATATGATCTGGTCCATGGTCTGTGTTCTAACCTCTCGGTCTGGACCACAGACCGTATCTATGGTCTGGTCTGGACCGGACCGCACCATTTCCCACCCCTACCTCTAAGTAAGGTGTTTTGGCTTTGCTTAACACTTAAAGCATGTTTAAGTGTAAGATTCAGCGTGTCTTTTTTAATCATAGATTTACATAGGAAATAGGAAAAATTTAGATTCAGTGTGAATGTTGGTTTCCTCACTGGTAGGAATGACTATATGATCAACTGCATTTGACTTACGTGAAAAGAAGGTGGATAAACTTGGAATCGTGAAACACCAAGTGATTTGTTTGAGATAAATTTGTAACCAAATAATTTTGGTGGTTGCCTACAAGGCTACAACAATAACCAGGTATTCAACCTCGTTGCTGGAATGAGCCACAGTACGTTGTTTGTGAGATTTCTATAAGGCAAGAGTGGACATCATAACAAGTATACATGTAGATGTGCGATCATTAGAATTAATTTACTTAAAAGAAATAAATAACTCACAAGTTTACATAATTGGAATAGATTTAGTTGCTAACTCCTTAGTTGGTTAGCACCATATATACTAACTTTCTTTTCAGCCGTTAGATGTTAATTTAATCCAATGGCCAATATTTAACATGGTTTATTTAGTAAAATACCATACCAAACCCTAGTATATATACCACCTATTTTTCTAAATTCTAACCTCTCCCCTCAACCACTCTCCCGCATCTCTCTCAATTCTTTCTCCGGCCGCCAACGTACAAACTGCTCTCCCCTCCTCCGCCGGCCTTTGCTTCTTCCGCATAGGGTCTTCTATCGCTGCCTCCAACGTCAGTCGCCAACGTTCGCTTCCCTCCGCTCCCGCAACAGCAACACAGCGCCGATTACTGGTTGATGGCTTCGCTCTTGTTCGAAGGGAGATGGATGGAGGCGGTGAGGTTTTCAATTCTTCAGGGCCGCACAAATATATCCCCATATCGGGAAATTTCATGGAATACAAGGGGACTTTTCCATATATCTTAGTTTATTATTAGTAGCGATTGTATATATACGTAGTAGTAGTAGTGTTTCTAATATTTTGTAGTAGTGATTTTTATGATAATTAGCTGTGATATTTGTTAATTATTGGTAGTGTTTTGTGTAGTTATAGTAGTATTTGTCCATTTGTAGTAGTTTTTTTTTCCTTTTCATTTTCAGTAGTGTTTTTACTAAAAATCATCAATTATTAATTAAAAATGGCTACTAATGATAATAAAATCACGGCTAAATTGTAAGTTTGGTAACTTGAATTACTAGTAAAGTTTACGTTAGCCACTAGAATTACTTTATTCCATTCATAGTCATTTAAATTACGTAAACAGTCCAAGTTTGGTCACTGGCCATTAGTCTCCGTTAACTTTTGATGATGTGGCGGTCAACTCTCATAATTGACCGCTAAATAGGTGACGTGGCAATTAAAAATTAAATAAAAAATAAAATTTAATCTATTAAAAATCACTACATAAAATCATGATATCACTAATAATGATGATAAAATCACTACTTAAAATTATGAAATCACTTCGATAGACCACCAAAATCACTACTAAGTAATAAGTGTTGTATATAATTTTCAGTAGTAATTTTTCTTGTATAAATCTCCAATAGAGAGATTTATCAAATACCAAATAAGTCATCCACTATTTTTTACCGTCAGATTTAACTTAAAATAATGAACGGTGATTAGTATATATAGCTTGGTGCTAACTCCAAATAAGTTAGCACCCTAGCCGTTCCCTACATAGTTCAATTGATCACTTTGAACATGTTATGTTCGTAAATGGTGTCAATTTTTCCAAATCAATATTTAACTACTGGTGAGTTGTACTGGAAAAAAAAAATGTTTGTTGACAACGACCATCCACCACAACATGAAAACGTTTTTCTTACTGTACCTCAACGAATGAATCACCACTTAGAACATCCCCACAAAAGACCACCTGTAAAAAAAGTGCACTCTGCAAATGAAAGAACACTGCCTGGTTTTTTCAATAACACCAACTCACCAAGTGCTCGAAATGGACCCCCTAACTAAGGCCTTGGAGGGCTTTATCACTTGCGAAATATGGATGAGCTTTTGGGCTTTCTGCAACTGGCAGGACGAAAGCCCAGCCATAGAAATGACTGTCCGATTCTAGCTCTTGGTTGCCAGTGGTGCTACTGATAATGTTCATTCAGTTGTGCTAAAAGGAAAACCTGGATTGGCTCACCTAGGAGAGGGCTTGGCGCGGCATACCTTCCTCCTCTTTTTGAAGAAGGTCTTGACTCTGGTTGACCGGAAGCCTCAGTTTATGGAAGTGATTGGTGTCCTCTGGAGGATTTGGAGATCACGTAATTGGGTGGTTTTTGAAGGAAAACAGTTTGGGATTGCGGCCTTGATGCGTCAATTCCGCCAGCAGGTGCATGAATGGGCTAGCCTTCCGAAGGACCCTACCCCAGGCGTCCCACAATGTTTGGCTCAAGTGGTGCAGGGGATCCGGCCTTGGCAATTTGCATGTGGGATGGGGCGGTGAGGGTTGGCTCTCATTCGGCAGGGGGATGGTTCTCTTGACTCCGACCCGTGAGGTTCTCCTTGTGAATGGGGTTCATTTTCCGGGGGTTGATGACCCAATGGTGGTGGAACTTCTGACGCTGAGGGAGGCTATCTTATGGTGCCTTGGGCATGGCTTTTCTGCAGTGCGCTTTGAAGGGGATGCCCAACTGGTTATTGAGAAGATCCGTCGGGGTAAAAGTGCAGATAGCCGAATGGGACCCATTCTGGAAGAGGTCAGCAATTTGGTGGTGGCTCATGCAGGACTTAGTGTTCGATTTGTAGGTCGGCGAAACAATAGGATAGCTCACTTGGTAGCTAGGAAGACCCTTTCTTTGTACCCGACTACGAGTCATTTCTTTGATTTCCAGACCTGGCCGTGGATATAACTGCCTATTTTTTGATCAATATAGGATTATCTTTTGTAAAAAAAAAAGAACCTGGACAAAAATGATCTTCTTAATGGAAAACTAGCCTCTTCATTATTGTTTATCAACTCAATTTATTACAACCCTCACTCTTATCACCAAAACAGCCGAAAACTACATCACATAACCAAAAAAAAAAAAAAAAACGACAAACACATGACCATATTCTTTTACATCACCACACAGACCAAACTCCCAGCTCCATCGATCCCATTATTGATCAACACATCAAATTGCACAAATTCAACGATATGGGATTTAGTTGAACTTTCAATTAACCAGAGATCTCGATGGCCTTGACGTCGGGCTTCTTGACCTCGGCCTTGGGCACCGTCACGGTCAGCACCCCGTTCTCCATCCCGGCTTTAATCTCATCCATCTTGGCGTTCTCCGGCAGCCGGAACCTCCTCACGAATTTCCCGCTGCTCCTCTCCACGCGGTGCCACGTGTCGTCCTTGTCCTCCTTCTCCACGCGCCTCTCCCCGCTGATCTGCAGCACCCTGTCGTCCTCCACCTCCACCTTCACCTCCTCCTTCTTCAGCCCCGGCAGGTCCGCCTTGAACACGTGCGCCTCCGGCGTCTCCTTCCAGTCGACCCTCGTGTTCACGAACGCGCTGTTCTCCCCGCTGCCGCCGCCAGGGATCAGAGCCGCCGACGAGGGGAAGTTGATCGGGAAGTCCCTGAAGGGATCGAAGGCGTCCAGAGCCGAGAATGGATCCCACGCGCCGCTGCTGCTGCGGCCGCGGCGGTTCCCGAAGAAGCTTGGAATCAGCGACATTTCTCTCTGTTTTTTGTGAAATTGGGGGAATGAAGGAAATTAGGTTTGCTTGATTGGATTGATTTCTAGAAGGTAACTAATTCTTGCTGAATTGGATTTGTGGGTTAGCGAGAGGGAGGTAGTGCTATTTATATGAAGGCAATGGGAGAGGCGGTGGGGTGCTCCCAGTGAGTTCTGGTGTCTTCTTCTTCTTCTGTCATTTTCTTGAGGGAAGTTGAAGAAGCTTTATGGAGAAACTTCTTGACGTTTCTCTCTCTGGGTCCATCGGGCTGTTTGGTAAAGTTTCCGAGATATTTCGAGTGGGCTCTGGAATGCCTCGGGCCTCCCAGAGACATAATAGCCTTTTATGGGCTCAAAGGGCAGAATGGTTTGTTTGTTGGTTGCGAGATATTGGAGTCTTGAATTTTTTGTTTTAACGTTTTGGGCTTGGGCTTGTGCCATAAAGCCCAAGAAAGCTACTCTCAACCCAACGGCCTGATATCGAACCAAAAGAGGAAATACCATTGGGAACTTGAATCTCCCAGTAGTCTTAGCCTCTACAAAAGTGATTTTAGATTTTACACATCTTCATATAATTAAACCGGTTTTTAATTTTAATTGAAATATAAAAAAAGAGAGATGGTTTTAAAATTACAATTGGGTAGGCCTGCGGCGGGCGGAGTTGCAGTATATAGTATAGGATCACGCGCAAAAGCAGGCAAGGACTCGCACGCGCAGCCTGCAGGTTGCAGCCCTTCCCAGAATCAGGCCAGGCCTGCCAATTTTCCATTCCCTTGGGCTCTGCCCCGCCAATTTCCCAAGTCCAATTTTATTTTGTTTGTTTATAATTCCCAAGGCAGGCAGTCTTTCTTCATTCTTTGTTTGGATGTGGTTGGATCAGGTTTCCAATTGCATTAAAAATCATAAATGTGCTTGCTTTGCTTCTTCTCATGGTTGTCACGCCGGCTGGCGTGTCACTGGTTGAATCTGGTTCAATCTATATTGGTCATAAAACCGACATGATCGATATACGAATTTCTAAGTAAAATGATCTTATATTAGTGAATTTATTTGATAAAAACTAATTTATTATTTATTTTATGTGTTAAAAAGTTAAATGTTGATGTTATTTGTTGGATTCAAGTACAAATATTTAGGTATTGACGTTAAATGTCGTGCTTAAATATGAGTATTTGTAAATTATTTGTAATATTAACCGGCATGAACCGGCACAAACCGGTATGTATCACCGGTCGAACCATTCCACTTGCTAAACCGACACACCGGCACAAACCGGTTTGACAACCTTGCTTCTTCTTCTACTGCTTCTGCTTGTCATTCTGCTTTCCCAAGACTTGTGTTGTCTTTTTCAGTCATCGGCATTCTTCTTGGATCTCCCCACATCATGTCACCACTTTCCACCATCATCATTCCACACCATTTCTTACTCTTCACTCTGCCTTCTGTTTTTTTATTTTCCTTTTATGTACGTACAAATATATATATTATTATACCTCCCTAATATCAAACAAGCTGCTAATTAAATTAAGGGTTTTCCTCCAAGAGCTCCATTTTTGCAGACATTTATTTCTAGCGGTGTAGAAGACAGGAAAACGTTGCTACAAAGGTTGTCGCTTAACTTAATTAGGTCCTCTAGCGAGCTAGTTAGTGGGTTCAATGTTTTCACCGGCGGATTGAAGAGGCCACGCAGCAGAGACATATACACTATGGTTCCGAAGGAAGGGAGGAAATGGAGGGGAGGTGAAAGAAAATTGGGAGGGGAGGGGAGATTTGGAAGTGAAGAGAATTGGGAGGAAAATGTTGTTTTATGGAGGAAAGTGGGAAGGAAAGTGTATATTGAGAAGTGTAAAGAATATTTTATTTTATTGGTTATGTAATAGTAAAATAAAGTAGATGATTTGAATTTTTTTTGTTAATTTATTGTTAAAAATCAAAAGTAACGTGAAAAGAGCTTAATCTATTTTTTTGTGAAGCTATGTTGCAATTCATGCATTCAAATTAAAAAAAAACTAACACAATATTATTTTTTAAAAATACATAGTTATTTCCTAAATCCATAATTCCCACGTTAAAATAAGAACAAAATTTTCACAAGAAAACGAAAATGGAAAAAGGGAATTAAATACTCATTTCCATCTCCATTAATAGAGACTAGCTTAAAAGAGAAAAAAATATTGAAAAGTGTGATCAATATGTTATTTTATTAGTAATGTAAGAGTAACTATGTTTAAAATATATTTTGTATTAAAAATTATGTAGAAGTGGATATAATGAAGACCAATTTCTCCATGACTTTGATCATAACCATTTTCATTATTTTTAGCGGAACATGTCTCGTTCATTTTAACTTGATTAATATTTTCCCCATAAAAGTTGGATTACATTTGTTGTACAAGATAACATCCGTTCTATAAATATCACACTCTAATGTTGTTTTACTAGAAACGTACCACACTTTTATGTCTCGCGTAATAATTTTATATATCACGTAAACAACATTATTCGTGATGTAAATCAATGTTGTGTTTGGTTCAGAGGTATGTTCGATATATTTTCACCGCGGTTTCACTATAAAATATTCTACCGCAAACTTTTTCGATACAACATTCGATAAGCTTTCACAATTTCTAAAAAAAATTTGATAGTTTACATAGGTAAAGAGGTTGGGTTCTTTTTATGGGACGGTAAAGAAATTGGATTTAATTACAACTCATGATTATATTTAGTTATTTACACTTAGCCATAATTATTTTCTAAAAATCCTTCCACCCTTACCTTAAAAAAATAAATAATTGCCAACTTATTTAATCAATTACATAAAAGGGTATTAAACCCCCATAAATTGGATGCAGATGATGGGACAGATGATGGGAGGCTTTCTCTCCCTTTTCTCTCCGAAACCAAGGGTAGGGTTGCACAGTAATTTTTCTTTTCACTCTTTCCTTTCCTTCCTTCCCAAACAGAGGAAAGTTTATTGGTTCCCTCATTTTCCAGCCTAACTTTCCCTTTCCTTCCTTTTCTCTCCTTCTAGAACAGAGTGATAATATATAGTTCCATGGCTATACTATATATAGCAACCTTACCTTACCTATCTGGCTGGCTGGCCCCGACATTACACAAGGGCACGTGCCATTATTATATATTCCTTACATAATACAAATTCGTGCACCTTACTTAGGTGGCTACTTCGGTGCACTCACTTTTTTTGGTGCATTCAGTGCACCCACTTTTAAAAGTGGTCATAATACATCAAATTTTGAAATTTAATGGGTAGCATTAGTCTCATATGATGATATAACACAGAATCACAACTAATAAACCCAGTGACGGATTCAGGAATTTTAAATAGAGGTGTCGCTTCAAAAAATTAAAATTAAAAATTAAATCAAATAATTATTAAATATGAAAATATTTAACTAGTAAAAGTTAGAATAAAAGTTCAAACATGTTCCGTATTATGAAAGAATGGTAAAATACATTCGGTGTATACACTGCTCAACAAATCTCTCGTAACATATCTTACTAGACAAGGATAACCCGTAATTGGGTTTAATCGCTAGTTTTTGAAAATAATTGGGGATAAAAAGAGTCTTTTACTATTATATTTTGATCTAAAACATAACTACAAATGAGTTGTAGTCTAATTGGAACTATATTTACTAATAGTAGTTGTGTTCCCAAGTTCAAATCACATAGACCCTATCACTTAAATATTATTGTACCCATATGCAGAATACTATAGGAGGTTGAATAATCATTTTCCATATTTTAAGGATGTTCCACTATCACTATTTTTTTCCCATACACAAACTACTATCGAAGGTTGGATAATCGTTTTTCCAAATTTTAGGGGTGTCCCGGGACACCCCTGAACCTCCATGTATCCGCCCCTGAATCAACCCATTACCCTAACCTATTAACATTCAATTTTGAATCTAAATCCAAAATTCAAAATTGTAAACCCTAACCCTAAATTCCTAAACCCTGTATCATTCAAATTAAAGTGAATCTTGAATGATTTTTGTACAAATTCATGTTATTCTTGTTCATCATACTACAAGGGATGATTGACATCGTTTTCACATGAATCGTCTGCTCAGAATGACGATTATGAGGCGAGTGCATTGAATACACCCAAAAAAGTGAGTGCACCTAAGACATAACCATATATATATGAACCCTAAACTTGAAGTGTACGTACGGACCCCCTCCTTCAATAACACGGAAGAATTATTGTATGTTTGGTGCTTCTTCTTTCTTTAACTATTCTCTGTTTGATGCTTGAACTTGAATGTATATATGTGTCCATATAAATTATTATTATTATTATCAGTTGAGAATTAGATGTGTTATCTATCTCATAGTTTGGAGCAAAAGCCGTTGTGTGTTCAATGTACTAGCTAAGCTAGGGAATAATGATACGTTCTTCAGTTGTCGATTCTATATATATATAGCTTAGACTTATATTTGTTTTGCTTATAAATTAATTACGTACGTAGAGTACCAATCGCTTTCCTCTATGATTAGCCTCATAATCAATTAGTTTTTTTTTTATTGATTATAAATTCATAAATATGCAGTCGTGAAGTGGAGTGGCGTCTGGTTTCAATGGCGTCCACAATTGTTTTCTGATTTCGCCCTCCATTTTTCATTTGTTTGTGGCTTCAAATATTTGGCGACGAGGCGTTTTCCGGCCGTCATAATTCATTCTCGAGTTGTATTATTATGTACGAAGAGACAATTAGTCATTATGCTGTGCAGTCAGTCAGCTGTGGTGGTCAATGTCAAAGGTCCATTTTAGTGATTGACCAGAATTTGCACTAGGACATCTTTTATTAAGCGCTTACTTTTGTTTGTACTCATTATTTCTCAAGTTGTGAGGAATAATAATAGCCATTAGGCTGCAGTCAGCTCTGATAGTTCGTGTGTATTGCAGCTGAATAGCGCGCACATGATATCTTTAAGTGTACTCTGAATTAGTACGACGGAGAAGATCAGTGACTTTGTGTGCTTTGTGATAGAACCAAATATGCATATTGAGATGGGTATTCAATGTATTCGCTAACTTGTAGCCGATGGTATATATTCTTATGTATTGCACAACTATCACCGTCAATTTGAGGACGAGAGGGTGTTAAATATGGCATTTTTGTAGTTCGTTACCTTCGTTCGTGTTTAATTATGATAATAATAACTTTGGCTTGCATGATTGACCCAAATCACATTAGGCCTCTTTTAATTAGGCGTTTACTTTGTATCCATATTCTCAAGTTGAGAGAAATAGTAATGGCCAATTAGGCAGTCATCAGCTGTGACTCTTCATAGTCCTAAGGCAATTGATTGACCCAAAATCGCATTATGCCTCTTTTATTAGGCGTTTACTTTCCATCATTTGTCAACTTCTTGAGTTTAGTTTACATCAACAGGGGTAGTGAGCTCCAGAATCAAGCATGGAATAAGGGTCTGGTCATTAGTTTCTTTCCCGGTCAATTCAATGTAGATATAGAGATCTGACCAAACCTTTTTTGCCTCCTAACTTTCCAACTTGCCCAATCGTTAGCCAATTCTTTTACTTCAATTCTTTTCTTTCTCAAAACTCGGATACCGCAGTGGCATAGTCAGAATTCGATTTTCAATCCAAAGTTCATGTGCCCACTAAGTACACTCGACCATAGAGTATAACTCGATCGTACTTGAATCAAATGTCAATGATACTGTAGCAACCTTCATCACATTTTATACACAAATTGGGTAATGATCAAAAGGTTTCATCTCTATTAATCATCGTATACCAGCTCACATGAAGTATGAGGTGAGATCTAAGACTAGATTTATGATTTATCCCATTCTCTCTCAAATAGTTGATACTGTACTTCTATGTAACCAATAATTAATCACAAGTTATTGAATAAATCATTGTTTCCTATTAAATTGGCTGACAATTTGGTGTTGTTATTGATGTGGTTATGATTATTAGTTTTGGTTCTGGTTTCAAAGTGGCATTGCACATGCGCAGCAACATGGCAATTCTGTGAGAAAAAATGTGTTGTGTTTTGTGCTAACTTGTGAGAGGAGTCGAGCCCTGTTGTGGAATAAGGTGTTATATCTTATCACTATAGTTGTACGTCCAGGAAACTCATAATTCTCCTATGTCAAAAACTTGTTCCATAACCAAGGTAACATTCCATAGGAGACTATTTATACTAGACCTCTTGTGTTTTTCTTGACCATAAAATGGCCTATTTATGCTGGCTAGGCCTCTTGTGATATCTAAGTGAGAGTGCACATGCATAACATGGTAATTTTGTGCGGTTTGTGTGTTGTGCTTGGAGCAATTTGAGTCTAGCTCCGTCGTGGAATAAGGTGTTATCTTACCATACCATGCTACACAGAGAACCCATTAACGTCCACATCAAATTTGTCCTAAGACCAAGGTGACATTCCGCAGAAGACCAGTTATACTACACCTCTTGTGTTTTCTTGATCATAGATGGATTATAATATACATGAAAAAACCAATGGCCTCGGGATTTTACTCAAGGTTGATCCGGTCTAATACAAAAGTCATAACGTGACCTTTATTAACTTCTTACAATAACCCACAACGTATTTTTCATATTCCGGAGAAAAAAAATACATTCATTATGCGAAGTATTAAAGATGTCACCTTCAATATCTCCTACCAAAAACTCGTACATGACTACATCACTCAATCGATTCCAAAGTGCGTTATTCACATAATTCATTGTGGAAAATGCTTTTTTTAATACTTTCAGCGGCGGCTTACGACAACAAAGTCAATTTCACAAGACGATAAACTAATGGAAACACTCAACACTTATGTGGCATATCTTTTGCCCTAGAAAGCTCAACAATTCTCTTCAATCCAGTAAACCTATCATCTATCTTCACGTCAAAGATATAACTATCTAGCTAATGATCTTCATATAGAAGATATCGTTATCAGCAAACTCATTAGGACGAAAAGTGAGTAACAAGTAGTAAATCTTCCTCATCAAAGTCTACAGATGAATCATATGGTTTTAAGCATTAATATCACACCTCTCGTTGTAGTCGCTGATAAACTTCTAGTTGATCTAGAAGTTTATTTTTTCCCTTAGATTTTCTATTTATTCGATACCGAACATTCGATACTAATTATTCTTGCATAACTTTATCGGAATCAGAATCCGACTATTCTATTAATACAAGGTTGTGGCGTTTGATTAAAACAAATAATGTTTCCTATGGTATTAAGAAAGATATTTGTAGTCTTTTTTTTTTTTTCCCAAGTAATGTTGGTGGTACTTCCAAATAGAATATACTCTAACACACAGCTGGGATGAGGCTAAGTATATATATGTGGTGAGCTACAAATATATATATGGTGCTCATGAAGCACATTGAGATCGGATTGGAGATCTTGCTGAAGCGAATATTATAAGAGCACTAAATGGGCTTGCTGCTTTGCTTCTATCAGTTAGGTCTTCCATTGTGATGCATGTCATCAAACCGGAATTGGATGCAATGGAAGGGTTAGGTGCACATTACGATCAGCTGGAAGTTAAATTATCGACCCAAATATTTCTAGTAAACGATTGCGCAGAATCTAATCTAATCTAAGCACAAAATCTAAGTAATGTCAGACCTTTAAGATTTTCCAGGAACAGCTTCCAAACTTTGCTCACCTCCTGTCCCTCCCTCCTCTGCACTGGATCGGATGTTTTAAGATATTCCATTTTGCATATATAGGAATAGGATGAGTAAGATTGCAAGGTCGGTTATTACTTGAAGAGTACTAGCAAGATACAAGCTTTGCTTCTCCTCTTTCTCTCTCCCTCCACAGTGATGGAGCTAGATGGAAATCAGGAGGGGTTAATCGCACTCTCATTTTTGAAATATAGGTAAAATTACATTTAAATTTAGTACAGGTCTCGGAACGAGAATATTCGGTAAGGATTTAACCATCCCTCGCCATTCGCCAATTGCCGCAATTCAAGTCAGTACCCTTTGTTCGAATTACCGACTTCGCCACTGCTCCTCCACCTCCCTCTGTTGCTTCTCTCGCCTAGGTCTAGCTGGTTGCCTTCCTCCTCTTCCCTCCATAGGCATCGGGAAATCACACGATTTTCGAATGCAAGTAGTTGTTGCGCTTGTCTCTAGACAAAAGTCAACTGATTGAGATTTTGAAATTTGTACAGATTCAACATGTAATGACCGGCCGAAAAGAGTGGCTATTGGCTGAAGATCATTAGATTTGGAGAAAAGCATGTGTGGGTTTAGTGTCTTAACCATCTTATCGATAACTTTGTCGGCTTAATCCAACGAATTTCAGATAGCATAGCACATAGTAATGATATCAATTCTTACTCTTCAGTATCCTGTGGTTTATTTTATCCAACATATGAGACTGAGCACACAAATTCTGACCAAATTGATATGTAACAAAAAAAAAAATATATAATAATTTAACATTATTGGGATGGAAAATGTGTCATGACTTACCTGTGAAATTGGGTGGATGTCGTGCAAGTATGTTGATGAGGAGAATGGGCTGTACTAAAAATGGAACATACTCATTATTTTTAACTAACAAATATTTAAAAAGGGGTAAGACACATCATTTCTCCCATTTGCTAATTAATTTGGGTGCTCAGCCCATGCTTAATCCCATTTTTTAAAGAGAAAGTGCCCCCACTATGTTTATAGTTTTTAACAGGGTCTAACTATCTAGGTGGATAGAATGATCAATTTGGCCATATCTATCAATAGATTTTAAATCCAGTTGCTCTTAAATAAACACATACAAAATGGAAGATAGAAAGAAGAAGAAAAACACAATGAGTGGCACATTATAGTTTGTTAACTATATATATATTTTTGTGTATAGCTTTCTCTCACAAAACTTTATTGAAGCGGTCGAACTTTTTTTATAGAGATTAGGCGCCTTAATTATGACGATGCATTGGTAGGTTAGGTTAAAGCATGATTATAGAGTGATCAAGTTTGTGGCCAATTATTTTGCTTTGATTAGGTCATTCTTTTATCACCCATACTTTGTGTTCATCTTGTGTCTTTTTTGAATATTAATCCTATCGAAGTTGATTCGTCTAATATATAAAGGTTGGTAAAGAAATTCTTCGTCCAATCTTCTAAAAAGAAGAAAACTATTCATAAGTTTCATTACATGTTCTAGAGTATTCTGTATTTTCCCTCAATGTATGGCTTGGTCACCTCCTTGATGACAAGCAAGGCAATAATAATAGTCATAAAACATTCAAATTTTTATTATTATTATAGGTCGGAAATAAATTTAAAAAAAACCCTGAATATTCATAAAAATAGATAAATAAATAAATCCAAGCCGATTTAAAAACTGAATTGCAGTATTATACAGTTCTTTTGGACAGCTCGTAACAAATTCTGATTGGGTCCCACCAGGAGTCCAGGGGAGGTCCCCGTTTATTTTCATAGTAAGAAACAAAAACAAAGGCAGATGACGGAAGAAAAAAGCCAAAAAGGGTTCAAAAAGTTCTCTTTTGTATGCCACTTATTTGGGATTTTGCCTTCTTCTTCTTCTTCTTCTTCTTCTTCTTCTTCTTCACTAGGAGTGCATATTTTGCTCTTCTTCTTCTTAACTAATTTTTAGAATGAGAAATTTTGACATCTTTCAACCACAGATCAACGTGATAAATTGATAATAATAACAATAATAATAACGAATTTATTACATATATGAATTATATATAAAAAATAATTATTACAAGCTATCAATAGAAAAGAATTCAGAAAAGAAATGCACATCCTCTTGCTCAGAGATCCACATTCCTTCCCTTCATTATTCTACCAAAACTTTCTAGCACTAACAAAACTGCTTTTATGGTGCTAAAATTAATCTAACTATCTACTCTCATCAAAATTTCTTTCTTTCCTATCTTTTTTCCTACGCTGTATTTTCAAAACATTTTTCTGAAACCAAAAATGAAAAAAAATAAAATAAAATGCGTATGGAGAGAGAAATGGGGAAACTGAAAAAATAAATGAAAAAATTATTTGGAGAAAGCTGGAAAAAAGCTGGATGCAGAACCTACTCCTCCTCCAAGAACCGCTTCACAATCTTCACGCTTGGATCCATCACCTCCTTCTCCCACACCTCCGCCCACTGCCTCCGCCTCTTCTTCCTACTCTTCCTCCGCGAGCCACCGCCGCTTTCCGGCGCCGCCGCCATCACCACCTCCATCTCCTCCTCCTCCTCCGCCTCCGCCGCCGCCTCATCCTCCGCTCTCAACCGCTCTCTAAACACGTCCGTCGCGTCCACCCTATGTAGGTCCCACCCGCCGCTTTTCAGCCGCACGATCTTCCCCACCTGCCTCTCCGCCAGCCGACACGTGTTCTCCTTGATCTTCCTCACCGCATCCTCGTATACGCTCCTCCGTACTGTATCCCACCCTCCTCCTCCTTCTTCATCTCCACCTCCATTAACGATCATTTTCCTGTTGTTCTTATTGTTTTCAAAATTTCCCATTTTGTAATACCATTCTAATTCGGGCACCCCGATCGTTTTCAGCAGCCCGACCCGACCCGCCCACGACTCCGACGAGTAGAACTCCGCCATCTCCTCCATCATCCCGGTCTCCACCATCTCGTCCACCCGCCGGCAGAGGTAGTCGCAGAGGACGGGGAACGCGACGTCGATCCAGAGGAAGCAGCAGTCGTACCTCAGCTGCGGGGAGACCCGGTCCCCCGGACCCGACCCGTGGAAAACGTCCGACCCGGGGTGGAACCGGTCAACGAGGAGAGAATAGATGAACGAATTGGACCCACCCACCACGACGGGGAGCTTCCCCCTCGACGCAATGTCGGCGACCGCCGCCCCGGCGGCGTCGCGGAACTCGGCGGCGGTCAATTCGCCGTCGGCCGGGTCCAAATCGCCGAGGAGGTGGTGCCGGACCCCTTTCCGCTCGGGAATCGTGATTTTGTTGGTGGCGATGTCGAGCCCCCTGTAGACCTGCATTTTGTCGGAATTGATGATTTCGGCCTCGACCCCGCAGCTGGTTGCGAGATCGACGGAGAGCTTCGATTTCCCGCAACCCGTTGCCCCCATGATCACCAAAACCTTCTCCCTCTGCCGGCGGGGTAACGACAGAGCTGGAGGAGGAGAAGAAGAGTCCATCCGTACGCCGCGGAAAGGCGGCGGAGAGCGGCGGCACCGGGCGTAAGGGGGATTGAGAAGGAAGGAGAGGGAATCCTGGGAGTAAGAAGGGAGAAGGGAGCAATGGGACTCGAGTAGATGAAGTTTCATGGGAATGTGGCAGACATATAATGGAGGGGGAAGAGAGAATGTTTGTGAGGAATGAACAACGGGAAGACTGAAGAGAGAAAGAGGTGGCGTTGGCGTTTTGTGTGACGAGCAGCAGCAGCAGAGCAGAGCAGCTGTTAGTTTTCTGATATTTGTTTGATGACGGATACAGAGAATTTACAGAGTCGCCCCCCCTGCCCAATTCTTCTTGTCGTTTTCCTTCCTTTCCTTTCGCCGGTGAATGAACTCTGAGCACTGATTGGCTTCTGGGTGACTGTGAATTTTCTGGGTTTGGCTCTGCAATTTCAAAAAGTTTACAGAGTTATATAAGGAGGATGATGATGATGGAGGAGAGAAACGAAGAAACAAACAGGCGTGCAATGTGGGAATGAATGTTTGATGAGAAGGGAATGGGAATGGGGATTCCCAACGCCAACAAACACTAGCCCCATTTATAAATATACTCCCATAGCCATAAACAAAACCCCATTTATATAATACCCAGAAGAGACACACACGAAACCCAGAGCAGCAGCAGGGGAAGGGAAGGGAGAGAAGAAGAGACTGCTAGAGAAAGAAAAAAACAACCAACCAACTGGAATTTCTCTCATACCTCGCGTGGATTATAAAATCCCACTTCCAGTTTCCACTCTCTGAATAGAATAATAATAATAATACCAGGGAGGGGGGAAAAGTTCCTTACTTGCTTTCGAGGTTTGACGAGGAACAATCCTTCCTGCTCCTGTTTTACAATTCCACAGTGTTGGTGATAGAACTCGTACTGTAGAGAATGGTAGTCAAATTGCACTGTATTCAGGATGAGGTTAGACTCTTGAGAGTATCCTCTACTTATACTCATGGTGAACTACTATCCAGTACAGACTAAATCGAGTTTTGGATGAGCTTTTGTTGTGATTCAACGCACGATTCCGTTGGCTTCGTGCCTCTGTAATTTTCAGAATTTCTTTGTCGAATGGCGCCTATTCTCGTGGGTCGGAATAGACCAATAATTCATTTTCTAAATAAGCTAATTCAATTGTACATGCAATATATATAAAAAAAAATGATTCTAAAATACTTGCAAGCAAGACTCACATGTATTTTCCACAGCTTTTCTTTTACACGAACAACTAATATTTGCTTATAAATTACATAATAAGTTAATAACATGCATAACCAATAAACGACAAAAATAACATAATTAACAAACACAAAAAAAAAAAAAAACAAATGAAACCATATACACAGGGCAAAGGAGGTCCAAAAAGCTAAGGTGACAAGAGAGGAAGGCTTGAGTCATCTTTTTATTGATGCTGTGGGCATCGGTTGGGAAATTAGGTGTCATTTCTTTTACGGATTCGGTGATGGATTTGACTTTAAAATTTAAATTATTATGGACTGGTCTAAAAGTTTATTGTTTGTTAACCAGTTCTATGGAGTAATCCGTGACTATTTTGGGCGCTGCCTGGATGCCTATATCTGCAACTTAGGGAACTACACATGAGCACCATGGTAGAGTTGAAAGCGGTAGAGATTGGACTCCACCGAGCTTGAGAGAAGAGATTCCGCAATGTGGAGCTGAAGCTGGATTCATCAACAACAATCGGCATTATGAAGAACCACATGGATAAGGATCATCGACATGGTCTTATCGCTGCTCGGATTGAGAGACTTTTTTGTTTTGATTCGAAAGTGTATGTTTCCCATGTGTATAGGGAGGAAAACTATGCAGCCGATTACTTGGCTAACAAGGGCCATTTAGCCCTTTTGGTATACATCCCTTCAATGTGTATGATCTAACTTTGTGTAATTGGCTTGTGTATGTCTCCATGACCATCTTCATGGATTGTTCGATTGTTAATACAAATTAGGACCCTATGACGTTCGTCCTTCTACCAAAAAGAAGGGAAAAAAAGGTTTGTTAGCCATTATATCAACAAAGTTAGTGAAGTAAAATCCATAACAAAATCCAATAAGCAAACAATAACCCTTTCAAATCCATAATAACTACAAATCCATTGTAAACCTAGGGTTTTTCAAAATCCAAAATCTACCAAAACTCTTATTTTAAAAATTCATGAAACAAACAACTCCTAGATTCCTAAAGAATGTTATAATTTGTTTGCTTGTTGGGTTGGGACCCATATTCAAAGATTCATGGATTTGTAACAACTTATTGTTTTATTACCAAAAATTAGATATAAAATCGTAGTGCTAGTTAAGTTGGAGTTTTCTTTGTTTCAAATTATGGGTTCCATAAATTTACAAATCCTACATAAATTGTTGGAGTTAAAAAAAAAAAAGGTTAGGCTATTACGAAAAAGTTGTGAAATCCTCAGTGTCTAATTGTTGTTCTGCCCTTTATTTCTTTTCATTTCACCTTTTAGAGGTAATAAGGTAAATCCTATTTCAAACCCATAAATCCTTTCAACGAAATCGTTAAAACCGAAGAAGCAAATAACAAAATTGAAAATGACACAAATCTATCATATACATTTCATATTCCAAATCCAAAGATTTATCAAAAAAATTTATCTTTTAAATTCAACAAGCAAAAGATATTCCTTATTTTGATGTTATAGGAATTTTAGTTGTCGGAACCAAATTTTTTTTTTATGTCATTGTGTTGGATGTAATTGAAATTTTTGACAATTACATGTAAACTAACAAGCAAATATCTTTCTGATTACACTTTTGATGATTTAAGTGCAAGTACAATTACACATAAAATCTCATATTAAACAAAATTATAAATATAGGGGTATGAAGGATTTAGAATCACATCCAATGTGTATACAACGCTTTTACTACATGCTTTCTGTTGGACGTGTGACTTGAAAGAAACTTCAGAATTTTTAATGAAACAGAGTCGTCCACCAAGATGATAACTTTCAAAATCGGCTCGGTTGTATATTATTGGCTGACTGCCACAAAGAAAGTAGATATGGAGATTGGCTGAAAATTGACTGAGGTCTGAGGACGATGAAAGCCAAGACGTTTCCCTCCGAGGGTTGATTGTCAAATGCAGGATTAGTGTTGTCTTCCTTGATTGATAAACATGGATCACAATGAGAGAATCTTATAGTAGTTTCAGTAACTTCTATTGTAGTCCAAAAGGCTTGCTTGCTTCTTGTGAAGTGGTGCCTGTGGATTATCAGTTTGTTTTCTGCATTTACTTTTTTTTCCTCTCTTTTTAATTATTAATATTATATCACAATTATAAAAAAATATAGATTTCACATATTTTTTCCCTTGTCTTTTTAAAAAATTTCAAACACCAATGCATTGAATTAAAACATAATTTTTGCATATACATTATAATATCATGCATTTGATAAATAATGAAAACTTAAATACATCCTAGAATATTTGTTTGAGCCCGGGCGACTGGGCGTCACTCGGGTCCAAGGGGTTTGGGGCGTCAGCCATGACTTCGAGGGGGTAGGCGCCCCGCCTCGTCAGAAGCAAGAAAAGAGAAGAAGTATATAGAGAGAGAAAGTAGAGAGAAGTAATAGTAAGAGTAGATAGATTGCCATTTATGAGGAGAGAACTCCTATTTATACACATTTGAGGGTTAGGTAGTGGTCTGGGCGCCTGCCAAGCCATAAATGCTCTGGTCGGGCGCCTCAGACCCTCTGACACTGTTCATAGTCCTTTTGGCAGAGGGTGTCCCCCTGCCCCTTGTCCTTGCTGATGTCAGGTGCCTGGCCTTGTCTCTTGTCTCCCAGCCTTGTCTTTTTGCTCTTTTGTCTTCTTTCCTTCTTTATGCCATTAGCTAGAGTTTTGCCTTGGGTTACTAATATACCCTATCAATTGCCCCTTTTGGCGATGGCGCAAGTAGTGCGGCGTCGTCAAACAAGTATACTCTTTGAAGAAGAGTGCAAAAAATAGAAGGATAAAAATACAAATTCAAGTAAAAACTAAAAAATAAAGATAAATAATAAAGAAAATAAAAATAGCCCATTTGACTGTTCCTTGCCCATTTGAAACGAGCGCCTAGGCTCTTTTCCCATTTTTTTCTTTTTGCCAAAAGATATAACTGACATTCAAATGTTTTCCATTCATTGTCTAAGATGCTCCATTTTTCTTTCGATTACTTGTGCTCTTTTAGAAGAGTGCTTGCTCCGATTCTTTATCTAAGCACTGGTCACCAAGCTTGTCGTTAGTTTCCCTAAGAACCAAACTCAACGAGGTGTCTGGCTCCTTTGTCGGGGTGCTTGACCTTCAGTTGGGCGCCTGACACCTTACTCCTTAGCGAGGTGCCTGACCTTCAGTGGGGTGTCTGGCGCCTCACTCCTTCGCTTATGTCTTTGGTAAGCATTTGTCACCCCGTTTGTTGCCTTAAGACCCAAAGTCAACGAGGTGCTTGGTGACTTGCTCATTTGCCGAGGTGCCTGACCTTCAGTTGGGCACCTGGCACCTCACTCCTTCAGTGAGGCGCCTGGCACCACACTCCTTCAGAGAGGTGCCTAACCTTCAGTGAGGCGCCTGGCACCTCTCTCCTTCAGCAAAGCGCCTAACCTTGAGTGGGGCACATGGAGACGCTCCTTTGACGAGGTGTCTAACCTTCGGTTGAGCGCCTAACACCTCACTCTTTTAGCGAGGTGTTTGACCTTCAGTTGGGCACCTGGCACCTCTAAGACCCAAAGTCAACGAGGTGTCTGGTGACTTGCTCATTTGCCGAGGTGCCTGACCTTCAGTTGGGCACCTGGCACCTCACTCCTTCAGCGAGACGCCTGGCACCACACTCCTTCAGCGAGGTGCCTAACCTTCAGTGTCTGGTGACTTGCTCATTTGTCGAGGTGCCTGACCTTCAGTTGGGCACCTGGCACCTCACTCCTTCAGCGAGGCGCCTAGCACCAACCTCCTTCAGCGAGGTGCCTAACCTTCAGTGGGGCGCCTGGCACCTCTCTCCTTCAGCAAGGCGCCTAACCTTGAGTGGGGCACATGGAGACGCTCCTTTGCCGAGGTGTCTAACCTTCGGTTGAGCGCCTAACACCTCACTCTTTTAGCGAGGTGTTTGACCTTCAGTGGGGCGCCTGGCTTCTCATTCCTTCGTCTTTGTATGATACTAACAACTTAGAACCTTACTATTGTAAGTCTAACATTACTTGCTTTGGTTTATTTGAGCGCACAGAGGCTTCAATGAGGTTCCTAGCGACTCGCTCCTTTGTCGGGGTGTCTGACCTTTGGTAGGGCGTCTGACACCTCACTCCTTTGTCAAGGTGTCTGATCTTCATTTGGTGCTTTGTGCCTCGCTCCTTCGCTTATGTATTACGTTAATGGCTTCTTACCTAACTCTTGTAGGTATTACTTGTTTTGGATTACTAGAACATATAGGCAATTCATCGGGCGCATCGCTCTTTTTCCGAGGGCCCAACCTTCAGTGGGGTGCCAGACACCTCACTCCTTCAGCGAAGTGCCTGACCTTCAGTGGCAGGATGTCTGGCACCCCAACTTCTTTGCTTGTTTTCCTTTGTCAAACTTGTTTTAAAACGAGGATGGGCTAACGGGTGAACGTCCAATCACCCCTTGTGAGACTTTTTCAATGTCAAGCTCTTCCATGCATCGAGCTGAGTTTCACCACTTTTTTCGGTCGGAGGCGCCACCTCCCTTCTTTTTTAGGCGCTTTTGTTTTTCTTAAACGGACGAGGACATATCTGATTTGGCTGCTCCTTTCCAATTGGGGGCGCCTCCTTCCTTACTTTTCGCTAGGCGCCTTTGCTTCGTGTTAAAAGGTAGATACCTTTCGCCTTCTTTCTCCTAGGCGCTCCCCCCTTGAAGGCTCTCATCGGCTCCTTTCGCTTTGACCATTTCTGCCGGGCGCCTCACTCCGTGGATTAGGTACGTTTTAACTCGGCTGTTCGAAGAGGAACATTCGCTCTTTCTTTTGTTTGAAACAGAGGCGCCTCCGAATGTCGGGCTCAATCATACTGCTATGTAGTTTTCCGCTGAAGATGCCGCCTGCTCTCCCCTGCTGGCAGGCGCCTCCCCTTCTTCCTCCTCTCGGCGCTTTTGTTTCTAACTGTTTCTGCTTCCTTTCTTTGCAAAAGTTACCTCTCCATAATTGTTATTTGTTGGGAGTTTCCCCTTCCAGCTCATTAGGTGCTTTTGAGACGCATCAACAGGTAAGCGCCGCCCTTCGTTATTGCTAGGCGTTTTTTCAATTGAAGGCGCCGCCTTCTAGTTTTCTCATCTTACTGCTTTTGCAGGTGTTACCGAGAGCTCCCCTCCGATCCTTTAGGCGCTCTTGCCGACCAACATAGGTAGGCTTTGCCCCTCGTATTTTTGAACGCCATTCCTTGGATTTTGCTAAGCGCCTTACCTTGTTTATCGCTCCATGATACTTGCACCTGTTTATAATGCAGGTTCAACCTCAAGGCGTCTTAAGGAGCTTTTCTCCTAGCGGTTACGGGTCGTGATAGCGGTTTTTTGCCTGCGCGGTACCGGCTTCGGCGTTGCACCCGTTTCTCTTCCAAGACTCGCTTCTCTGCACACCTTTCACTCCTTGCTATGACATCCAATAATTCGCAACCCTCTGCTTCTATGGGTGGCGCCTCGGATGGTAGCACCTCCGATGACTCTAGCTCTTCTGATGATGCTTCGAGCGATTCGGACTAGTAGAGTTAGGGTATCTTTGTTCCATGTTTGGACGATGCTGACTTGCTAATGCGCCTTCTGTTTAGGCGCCTTTTGCTTACTTTGTCATGGAGCTTGCCTTCAGGGAATGTTTTAATTTCGTTGTTGAACATTGATCTCATAATTCTGATGACTCTCCTCCTTAAGAAACTCCTGTTCTTTTGTTGCTGCAACTTGTCTTTGTGTGTTGTTTTGGGCGTTTGCTTTTGAGCTAGGTTTCTTACGCGTAGCCTCTTTGAAAAGAGGTGATGTGTTTTGGTTTCTCCTCAACGGAGGAAGCGGGTCTGGGTGACCCCTTCTGACAAGGCAGGGAATTTCGCGAGGGATATGGCCAAGGCGCCACCTCTCATGGGGACTCGTGAAACGAGCGCCCAACGCTCGGATGAAGATATGAGTGTAAGCACTAAGGCTCTTCCGCTGGTTGCGGGTAAAAGGTTTTGTTAAGATGACTACCTTAAGCAAAACTTGATTTTTCTTACGTGTACCCATGAGAAGGAGGTAACACGCTTAGGCTTCTCCTCAATGGAGGAAGCGGGTCTGGGTAACCCCTTCTGGCAAGGCAGGAATTTTGCGATGGATATGGCCAAGGCGCCACCTCTCACTTGATTTTTCTTACGTGTACCCATGAGAAGGAGGTAACACGCTTAGGATTCTCCTCAACGGAGGAAGCGGTTCTGGGTAACCCCTTCTGGCAAGGCAGGAATTTTGAGATGGATATGGCCAAGGCGCCACCTCTTATGGGGACTCGTAAAACGAGTGCCCTAACGCTCGGATGAAGTTCCGAGCGTAAGCTCTAAGGCTCTTCCGCTGGTTGCGGGTAAAAGGTTTTGCTAAGATGACTACCTTAAGCAAAACTTGATTTTTCTTCCGTGTACCCCTGAGAAGGAGGTGACACGCTTAGGCTTCTCCTCGACGGAGGAAGTGGGTCTGGGTAACCCCTTCTGGCAAGGCAGGAATTTTGCGAGGGATATGGCCAAGGCGCCACCTCTCATGGGGACTCGTAAAACGAGCGCCCGACGCTCGGATGAAGATCTAAGCGTAAGCACTAAAGCTCTTCCGCTGGTTGCGGGTAAAAGGTTTTGCTAAGGTGACTACCTTAAGCAAAACTTGATTTTTCTTACATGTACCCCTGAGAAGGAGGTAACACGCTTAGGCTTCTCCTCGACGGAGGAAGCGGGTCTGGGTAACCCCTTCTGGCAAGGCAGGAATTTTGCGAGGGATATGGCCAAGGCGCCACCTCTAGTGGGGACTCGTAAAATGAGCGCCCGACGCTCGGATGAAGATCTGAGCGTAAGCACTAAGGCTCTTCCGCTGGTTGCGGGTAAAAGGTTTTGCTAAGGTGAATACCTTAAGCAAAACTTGATTTTTCTTACATGTACCCCTGAGAAGGAGGTAACACGCTTAGGCTTCTCCTCGACGGAGGAAGCGGGTCTGGGTGACCCCTTCTGGCAAGGCAGGGAATTTTGCGAGGGATATGGCCAAGGCGCCACCTCTCATGGGGACTCGTAAAACGAGTGCCCGATGCTTGGATGAAGATCTGAGCGTAAGCACTAAGGCTCTTCCGCTGGTTGTGGGTAAAAGGTTTTGCTAAGGTGACTACCTTAAGAAAAACTTGATTTTTCTTACATGTACCCATGAGAAGGAGGTAACACGCTTAGGCTTCTCCTCGACGGAGGAAGCGGGTCTGGGTGACCCCTTCTGGCAAAGCAGGGAATTTTGCGAGGGATATGGCCAAGGCGCCACCTCTCATGGGGACTCGTAAAACAAGCGCCCGACGCTCGGATGAAGATCCGAGCGTAAGCACTAAGGCTCTTCCGCTGGTTGCTGGTAAAAGGTTTTGTTAAGATGACTACCTTAAGCAAAACTTGATTTTTCTTACGTGTACCCCTGAGAAGGTGGTAACACGCTTAGGCTTCTCCTCGACGGAGGAAGCGAGTCTGGGGTGACTCCATCTGTTAAAACAGGGATAGCTTTGCATTGCCGAGTAGTGAATATCCGTTCCTTGAGCAAAATAGGGAATTACATGGGGTATCGCCAGGGCGCATCCCTTTCCCCGAAAATTCCTAAAATTACCAACCTAAACTGAATAAAAGGACTCCTCCTAGCACGCTTTTGCCTCTCTTAGGGTGTCTTTGGGTTACGCCTACTTAAAGGGCGCCCCTTCCCCTACAAAAATTCCAGGGCGCTTCTTTCTTCCGAGGCGCCGTAGTTGAGTCATGCGTACTTCTCCAGGTAGACATCGTCGTCAGCTTCAATTGCGTCCTCCTTGGGTGAGGCGCCCACACCCTCCCGTGGGGAGTTCATGGGTAGGACCTCAACCTCTTGCATCTTTCCTCGGAGGCGCCTCCTCTCCTCTGTGGCTTCTTGGGGATTGGGAGGCGCATGATCGTTTGCCTTTGTCAGTGCTGACAACGCGGTCATGACTTGATCCAGTTGGCCTTGCATGCTGGCCATTTGAAGTGCTTGCTTTTCCCGAAGCTTCGCTAGTTGGCCCTCCAGGCGCTCCGTGTCTTCTCCCTCTCCTGATGGATCGTCGTCGTCGGATGCTTCCAAACTTTGGATGGTGTTCCCAAGCTTGGTGGATGAATTGTGGTTGAGGGTTGATCGCTTCTCGAACAACGACTTGCTTGATAGGGGTCTTCGTTGGTGCCAGACTCCTTTCTTCCCCCTTCTTTGAGTTGGAAGCGTCTTTCAAAGTCATGCTTGGCCCCACGGTGGGCGCCAATTGTTTGAGCCCGGGCGACTGGGCGTCACTCGGGTCCAAGGGGTTTGGGGCGTCAGCCATGACTTCGAGGGGGTAGGCGCCCCGCCTCGTCAGAAGCAAGAAAAGAGAAGAAGTATATAGAGAGAGAAAGTAGAGAGAAGTAATAGTAAGAGTAGATAGATTGCCATTTATGAGGAGAGAACTCCTATTTATACACATTTGAGGGTTAGGTAGTGGTCTGGGCGCCTGCCAAGCCATAAATGCTCTGGTCGGGCGCCTCAGACCCTCTGACACTGTTCATAGTCCTTTTGGCAGAGAGTGTCCCCCTGCCCCTTGTCCTTGCTGATGTCAGGTGCCTGGCCTTGTCTCTTGTCTCCCAGCCTTGTCTTTTTGCTCTTTTGTCTTCTTTCCTTCTTTATGCCATTAGCTAGAGTTTTGCCTTGGGATTACTAATATACCCTATCAATATTATTTCTGGTTCAGTAAGTTTATGCATGAAATTGTGTATAGTAAGTGAGAAGAAAAATTGTGGGAATCATTTTTCATATAATGTATTTCTTCTAATACTTTCTGCCTCAAGTGATTACCATTTCATCACTACGCAATGACCCCCAAAATACAAAGTTAATAAACGCAAATGAAGAAAATATCTTAAAAGTCAAAGAGAAAATTAGCCTGGACATGGAGATGAGAACGCTAAATACTAATTAGTACTGCTCTTGTTTGTGAGACATTAAGAATATTTTGTTTTAGCTTAGACATTAATAAGAAGGCAAGGCACTAAACCAAAATTAATTGAGGATATTTCTCTCAAGTAAGTTTGATTAATCAAAACTTTGAGATTCAATTACAACATCTTAAGAGAACGGTAGACACAAAAAACAGCAAACTTTTCTAATCTTGCATCCTAAAACTATGAGAGAAACTTTTTGATCTTGCACCTTAAGCCACAAAAAAGAAAGATAAGAACAAAACAATAAGGGAAGAGTGTAACACAATGTGAGTGAGAGATCCATTATTTATAAGTAAAAAATTAACCTTAACTAACAAAACGTTTTTTTGGGTGAAATGTAAGAGTTATTGTAAGAACTATGAAGTTATACGTGCTCATCGTGGAATAATGCAAGATGGATGACTTATTGGTAACTAACTTTGTTATGCACAACAAGGAAAAAATCATGCGGGTATAGGCCCAAAGCGGAAAATATTTTTGTCGGAAAAAAGTTCGAGATGTTACAAGTGGTATCAGAGCCTCTCTGCGTCTCTCTTGAACGATGGTGGGGCTCAACAATGACTTTGAGTCCGGGGGGAGGGGGGAGTGTATGTAACACTTTAGGCGAATTCCACATCCACAAAGTACGCGAGAGATAATAAACCGACCTTAAATGAGAAGATACGTTTTGGGGTGAAATGGAAGAGTTATTGTAAGAACTCTGAAGTTAAACGTGTTCATGTAGAGCAATGTAAGAATGAGTGACCTCTCGGCAGTAACCTTGATATACACCACAAGGTAGAAACTGTGTGAGTCTAGAATCAAAGCGGACAATATATTCTTTGGAAAAAATGTTTGGGATGTTACAAAAAGTATGATTAAATAAAAGATTGGGAGAAAAGAATGAACCGTTAAAAGTATAATAAAGAAAGTAGACGGGGAGGAAGATGCAAAGGCAGAAAATCAGAATTGTGGGTGATGAAATTAGAGAACTGGCAAAGGAGATGAAAAAATGTAAAATAGAAATTCCAGAAAAGGGGGAGGCAACGGAGCATCACTGACGATGACCAACACGACTTGCAATTGGGAGGAGTGAGAAGTGTGGCTGACTAGACCATCAATTTTCTTATTTTACAAATTTTGATGATTATAAAGACATTATGTTTGGTTAATTGAATATCGAGAATTTCCTATAAAACAGTTGAAGATTTTCATCGTGGATCTCATCTGTTTAGACGAGATCCAAAATTGGAACACATTTTTTTTATTGATTCCACAAATTTGCAACTTCTAATATTGAATTTGCTCAATATGAATTGAATTTAGATATTAAATTCTTCTCCAAATCGAACCAAAAACACTTACTTCTATCTTTCATGGAAGAGAAGAAAAGAGCAATGAAGTTCGAGTGTTCGGAGTATGTTGGCCCGAGAAGGGAAGGTAGTGGATTAGCACTGTGGTGGAAGGAAGATGTGGATATTGTTATCCAGGAATCGTGTAAGTCCTTTATGGACACTAGAATTAGGCAGAATGGGGTGGATTTTTTCTGCACTTTTGTTCACGCTCCTACCTAGGCGGTAGAGAGAAGGGCTCTTTGGGATCGACTTACGACCCTTAGGGAAAATTTTGATGGCAAGTGGATTGTTGTCGGTGATCTCAATGTTGCAGCGTTCCCTTTTGAGAAACAGGGACGCTGCCTGTTAAGAAATGAAAACGCAGCACCCTTTAAGTATTTCATTGCTCGCAACTCCCTGATTGACCTTGGTTTCTCTGGCCAAATCTTTACAAGGAGCAACAAGCAACAGGGGGATGACTTGATCAGAGAAAGAATTGACCGAGCGCTTTGCTCGACCTCATGGAGAACTGAGTTTGAAGCTGCTTTTGTCTCCCATGAGGACTTTGTGGAGTCTGACCATTGCCCGATTAGGATTGACCTGCATCCTAGTAGGCAAGCTCGCTGTACCCCCTTCAGATTTGATAATAGGTGGAGGGATAGCGAGGAGTGTTGTGATATTGTTCTCAAGCGATGGCAAGAAGGAGGAACTGTGTGTGATATGTTGAGTGACTACAAAAACGAACTGAAGTCTTGGGCTAGGAATGACAGAATAGCCAAACAAAGGAGGGAGAAGGAAATCATGAGCAGAATTCAAACTATTCAGGGGACCTTCAGGTCTCCATCGGTTATTACAGAAGAAAAGAACCTCCATATGGAACTGGAACAACTATGGAGCTCAGAAGAATCGTTCTGGGCCTAGAGATCAAGAATTTCATGGCTCCAAGAAGGGGACCAGAATTCTGGCTTCTTCCATACAAGCACAATAAGAAGGAAGAATCAAAATCGAATCCTTAAGCTGAGGGATATAGATGGCAATTGGATTTCCAATACCAAGGATTTGGATTCTCATGTCAACAACTTTTACCACGAGCTCTTTAGCAGCAAGAATGAACAGGCCAACCTGGACCTGTTGGCAGGGTTTCCTTGCCTTGTTACAGAAGATATGAACCTTTGCCTCAGTGCCCCTATTGATAAGAATGAAATCTGGAGGGCTGTTTTTCAGCTCGGGGCTAATAAAGCCCCGGGACTTGATGGCTTCCCAGGGCTGTTCTTCAGGAAGTTTTGGAATTCTATTGGTGATGTCTTATGCCAGGAAGTTTCTGGTTTTTTCCTGACAGGTATTTTGCCAACAGGATGGAATGACACCTTTATCACCATTATTCCCAAGGTTGATGATCCAGAAGTGATCGGCCAATTTCGGCCAATCAGTAGTTGCAACTTCAGATATAAAGTTATTACAAAAATCTTGTCCAACCGACTCCAACCCTGGTTGCCGATTCTGGTTAATGAGCTCCAGGAAGCTTTTACAGGGGGAAGGCAGATCCAAGATAATATCATTATTGTGCACGAGGTTCTCAATCACTTCAAAAAACACAAATCTGGCAAGGAAAGAGATGATGATGAAGCTGGATATGAGGAAGGCATATGATCTGGTCGAGTGGAACTTACTAATCAATCTCCTTCGGTCTTATGGCTTCAGTGAGGTCTGGTGTAACTGGATCCAAACCTGCATTTCAACTGTTAGCTTCAGTCTCCTTCTCAACGGTGAGCCTTCGGATGCTTTCAAACCTTCTCGAGGCATTCGACAAGGGGACCCGATCTCCCCCCTTCTTATTTTTGATGTCAAATGTCCTCTCCTTCCTCATCGAGAAAGCAGTCCTATCTAATGATATCAAAGGGATCAAGATCAATCGATATTGTCCCACCCTCACCCACTGTTTGTTTGCAGACGACACAGTTATCTTTGGGGAAGCTTCCACTGAAGAAACTGGGGAAGATCCTGGATATCATCAGATTTTATGGGGCGGTGACTGGACAAGAGGTCAACAAAGAAAAATTCTCAATGTTTTTCAACATCAATGTCCCCAATCCTGAGCAAGTAAGGATTATCCAGGAAGCTGGGTTTGCCTCCACTAACTGCCACTCCAACTACCTTGGAATCCCGACTGAATGGGGGAGATCCAAAAAGGAAACCTTCAGGTTCCTTCTTCAAAGAATGGAAAATAGAGGTGATTCGTGGAAAAGACTTCTCTTATCGCCAGGGGGAAAAAGGTGCTCCTCAAAGCGGTCTTCCAAGCTATTCCCTCTTATATCATGTGCCTGTTCCTTATGCCAAAAACAACAACTAAGAAGATGGACTCTATGTTGAAAAACTTCTTCTGGGAAGGTGCGGTGAATAAGAGAGCCAACCACTGGAGGGCAGGCGAAGTCATGTACGCACCAAAAGATGAAGGGGGCCTGGGGTTCAGACCCTTTCATACTTTCAATTTGGCATTGCTTGCCAAACAAGCTTAGCGAATCCTTACCAACAAAGAAGCACTGTGGGTCAAGGTTCTCAAGAGCATTTATTTCCCGAATTCTGACTTATTGAGCTCCAAGAAAGGTGGAAAGGCGTCCTGGATCTGGTCCAGCCTGTGTGAAGCAAAAAAATGGATGGTAACTGGGATTATCAAGGTCATTGGTAATGGTAAATCTACCAAGCTCTTTAAAGACCCCTGGAGAAGAGATCGGGCAGGTCCCCTTCTGGATTTCAACTGGCCTGACCAAGCCACAGCAGATTCATGGATTGATGGCATCACTAGAGAGTGGAAGTTTGACCTACTGCAAGATTTCCTAAGCCCCCAAGACCTGAAACAAATCACGGCCATCCCTATTGGCCCGGATTCCCTGGAAGCCTTCTGGGCTTGGAGATTCTCCGAGCAAGGTTCCTTCACTGTGAAGTCAGCCTTCCATCTGTTTCTCAACCGGACCAGGACACCTCAAGGACCGAACGGTAGGGTTTCAGAGGCTTGTAAGAGTAGATGGAAATGGCTGTGGAGCCTCTCCATCCCTCCGAAGCTCAAAATTTTCATCTGGAGGATTTCGAAAGGAGCGCTGGCCTCAAAGGAAAACTTACATGCTACGAAATGCTCACCATCCATGACGTGTCCTCTGTGTGCCAATTCTTCTGAGACTATCCATCATTGCCTCTTCATTTGTCATCATGCAGTAGAAGGATGGAGACAAGAATGGCCCTCGACCCCTCTACCTACTCCTGGCACCCCTTTCCTAGAATGGCTGTCATCGTTGGTGCCCAGATTCTCCATTCTCTCTGTCCAAAAGATCATCTTCTACCTGTGGCAGACTTGGAAAGCAAGGAATGAGAAGGTTTTCAAGAACTCCCCCCCTCTGGCCCCCCAGCTACGATTGCAAAGGCATCTCTTGCTTTCCACAGTGGACCACCTGCCCCAAGAAACCTAACACAACCACTGCTCCAGCTCAGCCTACCCCAAGACCAGACCAATCTTCACCACCGCCGAGTACTCATGATTTTGAGATACACTGCGACGGGTTGTTTTTCAGCGAGGAGGCGGCATATGGCGTCATTGTTATGAACAACCATGGTCAAGTTTGTGATGGTAAGGCTGAGACCTTGCACTGTTTCTCTCTACTTGAAGCTAGGGATGGCAATTTCGACCTGACCCGTGTTACCCGACCTGTTTGATCTGTTTTGGGGCGGGGCGGGCATGGGTAGTCTCATCGACCCGACCTGCCCTGACCCGCCCCATTCTCGACCCGTTCTTGTCTAATTTACATGTAATCTTAGTCAAATTACTTAGTATTTTCCTTTTATTGCATCATATTTTAGCTATAAGAAAGTTGTAAATTAGTAAAAACCTCAATTTCTCCAATAATTTAACTGCAATTGTCATAATATTGTTTGTTTTCTTAGTCTTATAATAAAAATAACGAATATTTATAATGTTTTTAATATAAATTGCATACCCATTGGGTCGACCTGCCCCGACCCGCGACCTGTGATCAATTACCCGACCTGGACCCGACCTGCCACGGGGCGGGTCTGGGTACCAAGAAACCCGCCCCGGACCTGCCCCATTGCCATTCCTACTTGAAGCTGAAGCTAAGGCCCTTTTGGTTGGCTATCGTTTGGCTGCTGAGCTACACTCCACTTGTCTTGTTCGATCGGACTGCCTGCCCCTTGTCAACGCACTGCAGGATCACCGGAAAGAATGGCCATGGAGAGCTGCTGCGTGGATTAGCACTATCAAGCAAATGATGGTTTCCAATCCCCTTGTCTGGATCTCGCATATTGGTCGAAAGAACAATGTTAAAGCAAATTGGGTTGCTAGATCTTGTGCTAGGAAATCTCCACCCAATGAATGGGTTCAGATTTTGGATGTGGTCTCACCCCTGTTGTAACTCTTGGCTTCTACTTCAAGTAATGGAATTTCAGTGTCCTCTTGTAAAAAAAAAAAAAAAATCGTGGATTAACAAGTTCGCCCTTTTAACCACATCAAACCCATAAACGAAAGCCCGACCCAGCCAAGAAGGCCTAAAAAAGGTTTGGTATTTTCCGGCAGCTTTGTAAACCTCTCTAAGGGAGAAAACACCAACACATTTCACCATCAAAGAATCAAAAGAACAGAAGAAGAAGACAATATAAGAAGAGTGGATCATCAATCATAGAACCTTAAAAAATTAACAACGGACGGAGCAAGAGACCAAAGAAAAACGGGGAAAATGGGAACAATAGACAATAGTGGAAGAGTGGGCGCAGCCAATTGGTGTCGCCATCAACCTTCCAACTCAGTGGGTGCGCAACTGCGTTCACATCACTCAGTCAGTGCCTTACCAATAGCTACCGTCAACAGTCAACACCTCCCCTTTCCCTTCTCCGTCCATTTACTCTCCATAAACGGATCTTCGATCCCAACACCACCTTCTCGAGCTCTGTCTTTCACGCATCCGTCCGTCCATCCATGGCTTCTCTCGTCAGGAACGCCGAAGCTTCCCTCTCGAAACTCCTGTCAAGGCCTTGGAACAGAGCTTCTTCTCGCCATCAGCCGCCGGCCACCGTGTCTGCAACCTTGACGAGGAAGAAGCCCGTCGAGGATGCGACCCTTGACCTCAACTCGATTGCTTCGCTAAACTTGGACCACGCTCACTCCAGGAGATTGGTTCGATCCGCTTTCACTCATCTACAGCAGCAGCTCGATCATCCTCTCTACAAGGTCCCTCTTTTCAAATTTCCCTTTTCGATTCATCTCTTTTTCAATTTGGGTTTTCTCCTTGTAAGTGGGTTATTTACTGAATCGATTTCATTTCATGGGCAGCTGGCTCCTCCAGGGATTCGAACAGAAGAGGTACGCAATGAAATAAACTGAATCTGATTCCAACAGAGTGGGGATTGTGTCAATTCAATTGATGGGTTTTTAATTGGTTGTGTTACTGGGATTTGGCAGTGGTATGAGATAAACTTTAAGGGGCAGGAAGTGTTTTGTAAGTGCTGGATGCCAAAACCTGGAGTTCGAATCAAAGGTTCTGTGTGTTTCTGCCATGGTTATGGTGATACCTGCACCTTCTTCTTTGAAGGTCCGTCTCTCGCACTGAAATTCAAGAGGTATAATTTGAGCTGCTGCAATACTGATGGTGTTCAATGAATGACAGGTATTGCAAGCCAGATCGCTTCTTCGGGGTATGCTGTCTATGCCGTGGATCACCCAGGTTTTGGACTCTCTGAAGGATTGCATGGTTACATTCAGAACTTTGATGACTTAGTTGACAATGCCTATGAAATGTTTGCTAAGATCAAAGGTTCCGACTTTTTCCCTTTTGCATAGTGTGGATCAGAACAAATGTTTCTCGAGTATTCCTTCTTCAATTGTGATGGTTCCATAGTTGGTTATTGGCAGGAAGACCTGAGGTGAGAGGTTTGCCCAGCTTCATATTGGGACAGTCCATGGGTGGTGCTGTTACTATCAAACTCCATCTGAAGGATCCAAGTGAATGGGATGGTGTCATCCTTGTTGCCCCTATGTGTAGAGTAAGCTCTTCCATTTTTATCTATTTGCAGTTCTACTTCATCTTAAATCGGCTTCATGAAGCAGTCTTCTTCTTTTCTAAGCAACTGAACCAAGTGAGCAATAATTAAAACTTACCTTTGGTTCTTGTGGCATATTGTAGTACAATTAAGCTTCATGAACTATGTTTGTTGCTGTATGGAACTTTAAGGTAAGCAACTTAGTTTGCATCAATTAGGCTTCTTTAGAACCAGCCCACCCGCCACAAGGCTATTTAGAGTCTTCATTTATTTTGCATCTTGGAAGTTATGTGCATATGGGATACTCGCAGTTACTAATCATTCAAAGTTGTGTCCTGACTACTTGTTTAACGCCTATTACGATCTTCTGACTTCCATTTACTATCACAAGCATTCCTGTTTTAGCTGTGAACACTCTTTATCTGATGTACGAAGCGACAAAGTATCGCATTATATTCCAATATCTGGACCTGAATGTTAGTCTGACATGGTAGAGAAATGCATTTACCTTGTCATACACGTTGGCTCTGATGTGTATGGTCTGCATCTTTCTTGACGGAAAAGTTCCTTGTTATAACATTTAATTATTAGCTAATCGTGAGTTTTTGCGAAGATCTCAGATGAACTCAAGCCTCCTGCACCAGTTTTGAAGGTACTGACCTGCATGGCTAGCCTCCTACCCAAGGCAAAGCTTATGCCAAAGAATGATTTAGCAGAGCTTGCTTTCAGGGACCCGGTGAAACGGAAAATGGTGCGTCTCTGACCTCTACCCATCATTTTCTACTGAAAGAAGCGTAGATTTGTAGCTCGTTTGCTGACTGGTGTTCCTTTTTTTTTTTGGTTTCAGTGCGATTACAATGTAATTAGTTACAGCCATCGAATGCGATTGAAAACAGCTGTGGAGCTGCTCAAGGCTACTGAAGAGATTGAGGCTCAAGTTGACCAGGTTGGAGCCTTTATTTTTTTCCCTCCCTAAACTTTTGATCTATGTAGCAATAGTAACTACGATGTCCACAAGATAAAAAAAATAACGTGTGGAGTTCTATTGTTGAGTGTGGTTTTTACAGGTTTCGGCTCCATTGCTGATTCTACATGGCGCTGCCGATAAAGTCACGGATCCAACTGTTAGCCAGTTTCTGTACGAGAATGCAGCCAGCGAGGACAAGACGTTGAAGCTCTATGAAGGTGGGTTTCACTCCATTCTTGAAGGGGAACCCGATGATAGGATCTTCGCCGTGTTTGTTGATATCATGACGTGGCTCGATTCCAGATCTTCTTCAGCTTGACGAAAACAAAAGATCCGGTGCATTCGAGGCATTAAGAATGTATTTTTTTTTTGTTGTTGTTGTGAACTTGTAAGCTGTCTCGGCAATTGTAATAGAGTGTTATTTGGATTTTCATCAATGTAATCATAAAATGTGCTAAACAATACTAATCCTAATATTTTTAGCAGTAATGTGACGATGTTAGTCTTCTTGATACATCTGAACTTGAAATAACTTAACAAGACTTGACACTCAAAGTATGACATATATCACGTTTCGATTTTGGTCGATAAAAACATCGATGTGATATGAAATGACAGTGGGTAGTTGTTTCGTGTGTATGCAGTTGTTTCCGGCTTGCGAAAATTGTATTTGCCACCTGATTTGTTTCCTACGAGAATGGTGGAAAGAGCAGTCCCAACTCCTAAGTGCGATGGATTAAGGAGATAAACAGTCTTTCAGTTTCAGGAGGGCAGGGTGGACATGAAAATCCGTAGTCGACAAGAAGAACTGAACTTCGGAGAAGATAACTGAGATGCATTCGTGGGCTGAACGCAGAACGTGATGAAAATTCCGGATCCGATCCAGCCCACCAACGAATTATTCATCACTCGAGCCCATTACATAATATCTCTCGAAAGCCCAAAGCGAGTCTAGAATCCCCTAGAAACATCTCTACTCCAGATCAAACAGCCCGATCAGAGACGACGAGAACTTTCTCCATTGATCGATCTTCAGATCCTCCCTGGAGAAGAAAAGAAAAGAAGACACCAGAAGTCACTGGACCAACGACGCCTTTCCATCTGCGTTCATATAAATAGCTGTAGCCCCCCTTTCAATTACCCACAATCGAATTCAGCAAATCAATCTGAGAGAGCAATCAGTTCGAGCAATCCAATCAAGCAAGCAAATCTTCTTACTTCCCCCAGTCTTACGAAATTCAAAATGTCGCTGATTCCAAGCTTCTTCGGAAACCGCCGCGGCCGCAGCAGCGGCGCGTGGGATCCATTCTCGGCTCTGGACGCCTTCGATCCCTTCAGGGACTTCCCGATCAACTTCCCCTCGTCGGCGGCTGTCATCCCTGGCGGCGGCGGGGAGAACACCGCGTTCGTGAACACGAGGATCGACTGGAAGGAGACGCCGGAGGCGCACGTGTTCAAGGCGGACCTGCCGGGGCTGAAGAAGGAGGAGGTGAAGGTGGAGGTGGAGGACGACAGGGTGCTGCAGATCAGCGGGGAGAGGCGCGTGGAGAAGGAGGACAAGGACGACACGTGGCACCGCGTGGAGAGGAGCAGCGGGAAGTTCGTGAGGAGGTTCCGGCTGCCGGAGAATGCTAAGATGGATCAGATCAAGGCCGGGATGGAGAACGGAGTGCTGACGGTGACGGTGCCCAAGGCCGAGGTCAAGAAGGCCGACGTCAAGGCCATCGAGATCTCTGGTTAATTCATCTCCGTCCTTAATGCTTGTGGTCTGATGTTAATCAATAATGGGAGCTGTGATCTAGGGTTTGGTATGTGTATCAGTGTATGATTTAAGTGTTTGGTCTCTTTTTGCTGGTAATGTAGCTAGCTGGTGCTCCAGTAATCAACGCTAAAGTTCACTACTAGTTATTTGACCCGCGCTCTGCTATGGAAAAATTAAGAGTTTCAGACTTATGTAATTACTATTATCTCGTGCTTTGTATTGAAATCTAAATCTTCTTTTATAAAACAATCGATATAAAATGATGAAACTCTTTAAGTCCAAAGAAATTTATACAACGTGATGATGAAACTCTTTAAATTCAAAGAAATTTATACAACGTTCGCACACTCTTATTATCTTCCAACATTGCAAATATCCTTTCTAATCTACCATGCAAATATCCTTTCTAATCTACCATTAGGTGCTCATGATATGATTGATTCTTCTAAGCATGGTATTCATGTCTAGTTTTGAGTGCATAAATATAAGGTTTTGAAATTTTAATATGAAATGCTAAACGAAAATGGTTGCACCTTGGAGGTAGATCTAAGGCAATCTCAATTCTCATGTGACTTAAATCTGTCACTGTCACGACTAATTTGATATGCCCGGTCACTTGTCATAACAGCGAACTCGAAATAAAACCAATAACAATTAGCAAAAATAAATAATTCAAAAATATTGAATAAAAAAATAATTACATTAATTCAAAATTAAAAAATTTTATTTCGGGTTCGCTCACGTGGCAAGTGATCTGGCGCTTGACTAACGGTCAATGAAGTTGACCGTCCAATTTGACGGTCAAAACTCGCTCAGAGTCAAGTAAAAAGGTATGGTGCATAGTTCGGATTAGAAGAGTAATTTCAGAAACCACGGACTAAAACGGCAAGTTTGAGTATAATTCATATATTAACTATTAAGTATTCAACAAAAAAAAAAAAGGTATTAAGTATTAACCCTAATAAAAAAAATACAGAAAATGACAGCAATCAATCAACCCCATAGATTTAATTAATCAGAAAAATTCTCCCCATTGATTGGACATTAACAAACGCTGTTTTGATGTTCTGGGAAGGGGTTGTTGGGTTTTGGATATTGAGCTGTTTTGTTTCGGCTGATTCTTTCTTCAGCTGCTTGCTGCTGGATTTGTTTCGTTGTAATTTTCCTTTTTAATAAAACTATTTCGCCATTATCAAAACAATCAAATCAAATTAAAAGTGGCTCGCTTTCGTTAATAAGTAATAACATTGCCCGATCCGGCAATCCGGGTTCCTTCTGAACAATCCCATTAAAAAAACAAACAAGAGGCTCTGTTTCGGCAGTTAGTTTGATCCTGTCAGGCCGGCAATCTCCATTTCCTAAAGCAACATTCCAATTTTTTCGGACTTCCGGAATCAGAAAACCAACTATATATAAATCCTTCATTTCCACGAATCATAATCCACAAAATCTCTTTCCCCATCTTCTACTCGCTTCTCTTCCTCTGTACCCGGGCTTCCCTCTCTGTTTTTGGCTTCCCGACTGCTCCTCGCCGTCACCAATCACCGCCGCCATGGGAGCTCTCTCCGCCGACCAGCTCAGCTTGTTCGCTTCGCAAGGTTACCTCGTAGTTGAATCTTTCGCGAGCTCGGCGGAGATTGACGGCATGAGGAAGAGAATGGACCAGTTGCTTCACGACTTCGACTGCTCCTCTGCCATGAATCAGGTTCGGTTCATCTCCCTCGTCCTCCTAAACCCTGTTGTATTCAACCCAGTGAATTAGCTGTATAACAATAGTTGAACGGAGGGGTTTTGGATGTGTTTGTTCAGCAAAAGGAAATGAACGAGTTCATGTACGAGAGCGCTGAGAAGGTTTCTTTCTTCTTTGAAGGTATATTACTCTGACACCAACAATTCTAACTCCAAATCTGAAAGGGAAAATTGTTGTGTTGGGTTCGTGATGCCTAATATTTTGATTGACGTACGGTTACAGAGAAAGCGTTTGATGATGAAGGGAACTTAAAGCAGCCAAAGGAAGTGTCCATGAGTAAAGTTGGCCATGGTAAACTAAACTAAGCAGCAGCTGAAATACCGTGATTCAGCATTACTTTTCCCATTCCCTAAAAACATTGCAATATCTATCTATCTGACTCTGCCACAGCCTTGCATGAGCTCGACCCTGTATTCAAAGACTACTCCCGTTCTGAGAAAATCACAAGTGTGTTACAGTCCTTGGGCTACAAGAGGCCAGTCATCATTCAATCGGTATATATTTTTAAGGTAACACCGTCATTCTGATTCTGTGGCAGTTCGATTCAATGATGATTTTGTTGTTAAAATGGTAGTTTCCTCTGTTTTTTTCAGCAACCAGGCATTGGGGCCGAAGTGCCGCCTCACCAGGATAACTCGACTCTGTACACCGAACCGAAAACCACATGCACTGGTCTGTGGCTGGCGCTGGAAGACGCTACGACTGCTAATGGCTGCATGTGGGCGATTCCTGGATCTCATCGAAGTACTCATCTAATTTCCTTTGCGTTGCTCTAGCGCCGGCTAGCCAGGTGGTACAAACGATCGAGTCTGTTTATGGTAATGATTTGGAGGGTTTTTTTTTTTCTTTCTGTAGATGGGCTGGTGAGAAGACTGATTCGAGGGGAGCAAGGGCTCCAGTTCGATCAGCCGTCGCCTTCTTATGAGCAGTCGGATTTCGTGGCTATTGAAGCGAAAGCCGGGTCATTGGTCTTGATTCATGGCGATCTCGTACATCGAAGGTAAATTCATCAATAACATTTCTGAACTTGTTAGTAAATTGTATTATGTACGGGATGGTATATAATTAAGCATGATTTTGATTCTATGTTTCATTGCTCTTTTCAAAGTTTCGAGAACCAGTCTCCGAAGTCGAGGCATGCTTTCAGCGCGCATGTTGTGGACACTGTTGGTTGCAAATGGTCGCCTGACAATTGGTAATGCAATCATTTCATATTCCGTCCAGCTTCCTGCAGATCGAATAGAATTGCTACACATTACAGTGTATCGGATTCCTAATTCGTTTCATTGACAAATGTTGTTTATTTATGAACAGGATTAGAAGGAAAGTGGATCCAGAGCCTCTCTACTCATCTTGATCTGCCAAGTTTTTAGTTGAAATTGGGGGAAAAAAAGGGATGGGCAGAAGAAAGAAAGACCATCGCTGGCTGCCGAATATCCCTGGAAACACTTTGTGAGATTGGAGGAACGAATGAATATGGTGGTTATCATATCACATAGTGGCCACTGGCCACTCATGTTACCTTTCTATTATGTATTTTTCTCCGACCTACTATATTTTATATCAAACTTGTGGCTCTATTATAATAAATTTTCAAAGATGTCATTCTGTTAGTTTTTTCCATACAAAAACCGTTAAGTATGCTCAAAATGTAGGGGTGAGCATGTGGGTGGTTAATCCGCGGATTGATTACGATCCATCCGCAAATAATCTGACCTGCACGCAATGGGTGATTGATGTGAGTGAATTGCGGATTGATAAATCTTCCACCGGCACTTATGTGGGTGGATCGCGGGTCACCCGTATGAACCCGCATCCTATTTTACATGAAAAAATGTTGTTTTTTTTATAGTATAGAATATTCATCATATTTTCGAACTGCACTACCGTCTGATCATATACTTCAAAAGGTGGAGAATAAAGAATAGTTTTGACTACTATTATTGGTTTTGTGTTATTATTGGTTTTGTGTTGTGCAACTGCAATATCTAGTATATATTGGATATTTGTATGCAAATTATTGTTAATATCAATTAAATATTGGGATGCAAATTATAAATTTATTAATTGTATCAAAATCACGGATTATTGATACAGTCTTACTAATTTGCTATGAACTTATTATAAAAGTTAGTAAACTTTCTTAATGGCTAGTTGGAGAATTGTTTTTGCGGGTTGACTCGGGACCCAACCGCACCCATCTACCACCCACCCAACCCAACCCGCATAGGTATGTGGGTTGATTGCGAGTCAGAATTATTCCAACTCGCTAGTAAGCGAGTGGGTCAATTTGAGACCAAAATGTACCCAACCCGCCCATTCCCCATCCCTATCAAAATGGCTAAACTACCCCTAATTACCAATATAAAAATTACAATAAAACAGTTAGCTAGTTCCCTTTCAAGTACACCACCACTGACTGCAACCTGAGCTGGGAATTGTTGCACGCCCATCATAGTAGGGCTGGCCATTTGGACCGGGACCGGATAAAAAAACGGAAACCGGACCGCATAACCCGGACTGGATGTAAAACAATCCAATCCCGTCTTTGGTCTTAGAATTAGCAAAAAACACGGACCAATCAAGTCCGGGTCAAAACCGTATAAAAACCGGAAGACCGGATTAATAAAAAACAGACCAGACCCAAAAGACAAAGCCCATATGGGCCAAGACAAGCCCACTCTCACTACCCCCCAGCGGCCCAAGCCGGCCCAGTCCATCTAGGGTTGCAGGAAGCCTCGCTCGGCCTCTTGCCAGTCGCCCTCTCCATCGTTTGCAGTCGCAGGCCAAGTACCCGCCAACCATCACTTCTCCCATCCCAACTTCGCACAGCAGCCGTCGCCGACCCAAACCCTAAATCGACTGCATCCGCCAGCGAGTGCTCCTCCGCGAGACCGCGACCAGCCGACCACCTCCGCTCCGATTCTCCTCCGCGCGAAGCAACGCCTGCCTCATCCATCCCGATTCCCGAACTGCGAAGCCGGCCTCAGCAGTCGCCTCTGACCCAAAACGGGGGGAGTCGACGCCGACCTCGGCTCTGACCCAGTAAAGCAACGCCGGCTCGGCTTTGTCCCAGCAACGCGATGCAGGCCTCCACTCCAAGCCTCCGACTCAGCGAGGCAGTGCTCGCAACCACCTGAGTCCGCAGCTCGTCGCCCTCCGTCCAATCTCGTCGCCCTCTGTCCAGAGTCTATAGCTCGTCGTCGCCCTCCGTCCAATCTCGTCGCTCTTCGTCGAGATTGTTTGGGTCAAAACAAAGTCTATATGCTGCTGAATTTTTTGCAACATGGTCAAGATGGGTCAAAACAGGTCAAAACCAGATTGGGACCAGACCGGATCAAAACCGGATCGGGTTAAAATCGGACTGTACCCAATCCAAACTTTGGTCCCTATATTTTTAAAAAGACCGGACTGGACCGAATCAATTCGGGCCAATTTAACCGGACCGTATAACCACCCCTACATCATAGTCCCAGGTAGGGATGGCAATCAAACCCATGGCCGCGGGTATCCGACCGCCCCCGACCCAGTCAATGCGGGGAATTCCCGCTTTGACCGGGTATGGGGCGGGTATGGGTAAAACCCGCAAAAAGTTTGATGGGTATGGGGCGGGTATGGTTTTAGCCTCCCCGCCCCATACCCATCCTCATACCCGCCCCATCAAGATAATTTCTTCATATATAAAAAAAATATGTGCATCAAATTATAATCTATCAATGATGATGAGGATAACTTGAGAAAAATAAATCGTAGAAATGCAATTGATTGACCACCTTAATCAAAATCTAATTCATTTCTCTCAATCCTCATTTCACTCTTTCACTTTCCCCCTTGTCAACAAAATTATGTTAGTTAATTATTACTTAGTAGATGTATCAGAGTTAGAACATAAAAATTTGAAAAATATTATACTCTATATTATGTATTAATGGAATTTTTAGGATCATAATCTTTGAACCATATTAAAAAAATGACCGTGTTTTATTGACTTCATGATATAATATGTTCGTTTAGAATTATAATTAGAACTTTTCTTGTAAGTTTAAGGTATAATAATGTTGGATGTACGGGTATGGGTATTACCCATGGGTACTCGAAACCCACGGGTATGGGGATGGGTTTGCAAAACATTCCCCCGCATGGGTATGGGGCAGGTATGGGTTTGGGTATTTGAAGATGGGTATGGGGATGGTTTAAGCAAACCCGCCCCAAACCCGCCCCATTGCCATCCCTAGTCCCAGGAAGGAAATCCGGAAAAAAAGGTGATTAGAATGAGAACCCAAAGTGGATCAGAAGCTTCGGCCTGTTATAGCAACTGGGCTGCCCCACTCCAAGAAACTTTGTCCCAGCAACGCGATGCAGGCCTCCACTCCAAGCCTCCGACTCACCGAGGCAGTGCTCGCAACCACCTGAGTCCGCAGCTCGTCGCCCTCCGTCCAATCTCGTCGCCCTCCGTCCAATCTCGTCGCCCTCTGTCCAGAGTCTATAGCTCGTCGTCGCCCTCCGTCCAATCTCGTCGCCCTTCGTCGAGATTGTTTGGGTCAAAACAGAGTCTATATGCTGCTGAATTTTTTGCAACATGGTCAAAATGGGTCAAAACAGGTCAAAACCAGATTGGGACCAGACCGGATCAAAACCGGATCGGGTTAAAACCGGACTGTACCCAATCCAAACTTTGGTCCCTATATTTTTAAAAAGACCGGACTGGATCGGATCAATTCGGGCCAATTTAACCGGACCGGACCGTATAACCACCCCTACATCATAATCCGAGGAAGGAAATCCGGAAAAAAAGGTGATTAGAATGAGAACCCAAAGTGGATCAGAAACTTCGGCCTGTTATAGCAATTGCCCCCCCCCCCCCCCCCCCCCCCCCCCTTCACAAAGCAGGCCTATTTCAGAGGGCCGACAATTGGGCCTGGCTGGCCAGACGGATAGAAAGAACAGACTCGTTCGGATCCATCGAGATGCTCTCCATAGTGATGACGGAGCAACCGAAGCAAATAACCAAAAGAATTGTCACCTCGCCATAATCCTGCCGTCACCATCTCCTTAAACCAAGTGTCGTCTTCCTAGTAAAAGCGTTCACACATCAACTGCACACCACATCATCATCATCGCTTCACAAACTCCAACGCTGGCTCACGGCGCATGCAATATCATCAATTCATCACCATTACAAGCTCTCCATCTCCTTTATCTAACCCAGTTCTCAAAAATCCGTCACTATCTCCCTAGCTAGCTAGGAAGTAAAGAAAGAAAGAAAGGAAGAATGTCATCGGCGGCAGGGATGTCCGTAGGCTTGCTCGCCGGGTTCCACGGCCTGAAACATAACTCGTCGCGGGATACGAAGCAGTTATACGATGTTGCGTGGAGGAGGAAGGCTGCTAGTGCTACTACTGTGTCGAATGGTTCGAGGGTTTGCTGCATGAAGACGTGGAACCCGATCGACAACAAGAAGTTCGAGACGCTGTCTTACCTTCCTCCGCTGTCACAGGACTCCGTCGCTAAGGAGATCGATTACATGATCAAGAAGGGCTGGATTCCTTGCCTTGAATTTGATGAGGTAACTTATTTATTTAATCATTACCAATGCAGTCAAAAGCGTTACCAATGCAGTCAAAAGCGTTATTCTACGTAAAAACGTTTTGGGGTCTAGAAGCGTAAAGTCGTAAGATTTAAACTTTAAAGCGTAGATTTTGACTACAATTGTATGAGACAAACCCAATTCTTCGTAGAAGCGTTTTGGTGGGGATGGGATTAGGTGCTAACCCGCAAAAATCACTACGGATTATTATAAAATCAATACAACATCTAAGCTAAATCACTACTAATTCAAACTAGTAGTAGTTTTTCCCTTGGTTAGGACGGTGCTAACTATTGTATAATTAGCATCGTAATCGTTCCCGTTTTGGTTCTTATTAAAGCTAAAAACATTAGCGGTTAAGTTTTAAAGCGCGAACGCCACAAAAAATCGCAATTAGTTAAGTTAGGGGGGTGTTTGGCAAACAAGCCCTAAATCTTTGAAGAGGAGAAAACAGGGGGAAAAAAATATTATGGGGCGAGAGAGGCTCGAACTCTCGACCTCAGGATCACTCAGTAGCTATGAGACCTACGCGCTAACCAACTGCGCCACCGCCCCTTGTTGTTGAGTTCTCGCTTTCGCATTTACTCTACTTCTAGATTCAATCTTCTATGATACATTGCTGCTTAAAAACTGGAAGAAAGTATCGATCGATAACATGGTCGTTGGTATATATGAATGCTTGCGTGCAGGTGGGATATGTGTACAGGGAGAACAGCAGGATGCCAGGGTACTACGACGGCAGGTACTGGACTCTGTGGAAGCTGCCGATGTTCGGTTGCAACGATTCATCCCAGGTGCTGAACGAGATCGAGCAATGCAAGCAGACTTACCCTAATGCTTACATCCGCTGCCTCGCATTCGACAACATTCAGCAGGTCCAGTGCATGGCTTTCCTCATCCAGACTCCCAATTAAGCTAGCTAGCTAGCTAGCAATTCCCCCCTGCATCTTTCTCAACTTAATTAGATGCATCGATCTAGCTACCATTACCATTGGGGCGCCCTTCGTCCCTTGTTCTGCTGAATAACCTTTCCTCAATAAAAAACTGCAAGAGGGTTTTGCTGAATGGGGTTCTAGAGTTTGTCTAGCTGCTTGATCATGGGGGTTGTTTTGAAGCTCTACTCTTTCAAACCTTCCAAGACCTACATACATTATGTAGCTGGTTATGTAATAATGAGTAGTTGTTTAATGCTTGTTTTCACATGTTATATCTGCAGCATCAGGTGCTTTGTAATTCCATTTCCAAGCTGTTTAGGTTTCACCTACCACTAGATAACAAACCCTTGTCATTGTGGGTCGTTTGGATTAGGAATTTTTATACGAAAGGGTTTCACCCAAATTCATCGTTGAAAGTAGCAGGGAATTTGTATTAAACGAAATAAACTCGTTTGGAAGCGAATGTGGGGTTTCCAAAAAGAAATAAAAAATATAATTTTCTTCCCATTCAACTGTTGAAATTAAAATAAAGTTTAATTATTGAAATAAAGCTGAAATATCAGAAAAGCCTAGAAGGGAGCTACCAGATTACGTTGGTTTGCTGGAGATGAAGAAAAATCTAGAGATGGGTAGGTTTGAATTTAATTAGGTAGTTGCATGATTGTTGAATAAAATAAAAAAATAAAATAAAAAGTAGAACCACAAAAGTAAGTCGGTTTAGTGAAGATCTCTTGTATTCTAAAGCCTATAAATAGGCTGTCTTGTAATCGACAAAGAGCAGAGAGCCAAGAAGCAATAAAAATAAAGCTTCCAAGTCCCATTCCCTCTGCAAAGTTCTTGTCCCAATTCAAAACTCCTTCTTCCATTTGTTACCAGCTAAAAATAACGAGCTCCCCATTCCTCTCACTAAATCAAGCCCACCAAGTTTCACAAAGGAAATAAATAATTTTTTATTTCCAACAAAGTGGTATCAGAGCCTGAGTTATTTCCGAGTATGCTCTGTGGTTGCGGCGTTGTCTGAACTTCCACATCAGAAAAGAATTTCTCGTGCTATTATTATCACGATTGTCCCATGGCCGAAAAATCCACTTTCCCCATTCAATTCCCCCACCTTACCAAAACCAATTATAAAAATTGGTGTATCCGTATGAGAGCCTTTCTGGGATCCCAAGATGCTTGGGATATTGTTGAAAAAGGTTACGAGATTCCCGCGGAGGATTCTCGATTATCTTCTACTGAAAAGGAGGTATTGAGAAAAAATAGAAAGAGTGATCAAAAGGCACTCATTCTAATTCATCAATGTTTTGATGAATCGATGTTCGATCAAATAGCAGATGCTACCACAGCAAAGGAAGCATGGGAGATTTTGCAAAAAGAAATGCAAGGTGTGGAACCAGTGAAGAAGGTTCGACTTCAGACACTAAGGGGAGATTTTGAAGCTATTAAAATGAAGGAAGGTGAATCTGTTTCAGATTACACTGCCCGTGTGAAGTCAGTCGTCAGCAAACTGAAGCAGTATGGGGAGAAAATTGAAGAGACCAAAGTGGTGGAGAAAATTCTACGGTCATTATTACCAAAGTTTGACTATGTGGTGGTGGCCATGGAAGAAGCTAAGGACGTGTCAAAAATGACGGTTGATGAAGTCATCGGTTCATTACAAGCCAGAGAAGAAAGATTAAATAAAAGAAACGAAGAATCGTCAGAACAAGTGTTAGCTACAAAAGCTACCACTGAGGAGAAAGAAGGCACACGAGGAGGAGTTCAGTACAGAGGTCGAGGCAGAGGCAGCTACAGAGGCAGAGGAAGAGCCCGAGGAGCATATCAAAGCAGAGACGGAGGAAATTTCACCACGAACAATTATGAAACGTCCACCAGAGGCAGAGGTCGTGGTCGTGGACGTGGAAGAGGAAGTTGGAGATCAAATGAAGGTCGTGATAAATCCAACGTCCAGTGCCATAATTGCTCGAAGTACGGGCATTATGCATCAGATTGTTGGAGTCCGCCTAAAGAAGTGGAGGAAACAGCAAACAACGTGCAAGAAGAAGTCAAAGGCACATTGATGTTGTCACATCAAGGAGATGAAAAACCGAGAGACAACATGTGGTATCTGGATAATGCAGCGAGCAACCACATGTGTGGAAAAAGAAATATGTTCGTGGATATGGATGAGTCAGTGAAAGGAAATGTCGTATTTGGAGACTCCTCGAAGGTTCCTATCAAAGGCAGAAGAACTATACTCATCCGGCTCAAGAATGGCTCATAACAATCTATTAGTGATGTGTACTATGTCCCGGACATGACTAGTAACATCCTGAGTTTGGGTCAGCTGATGGAGAAGAATTATGAAGTCCATATGGTGAATCGTCAATTGGAGCTGTTAAATGAGAAGAAGCAGTTGTTGGCCAGAGTCCCAATGTCGAGAAACAGAATGTTCACCCTGAACATTCAGACTGAAATGGCGAAGTGTTTGAAAGCATGCGTGAAGGACACTACATGGCTGTGGCATCTGAGGTATGGCCATATGAATTTTGGAGGCCTAAAGTTACTCGGTCAGAAGAAGATGGTGCATGGTCTTCCAGTGATCAATCATCCAGACCAATTGTGTGAAGGATGCTTAGTTGGGAAGCAATTCAGGGCAAGTTTCCCGAAAGAGTCCCTGTCACGAGCTAAAGCACCACTTGAGCTCGTTCATGCAGATCTCTGTGGACCGACCACCCCAACATCGTTCGGGAAGAACAAATACTTCCTATTGTTCATTGATGATTACAGTAGAAAGACATGGGTATACTTCTTAAAGCAGAAGTCAGACACATTTGAAGCTTTCAAGAAGTTCAAGATGATGGTGGAGAATGAAAGTGGCCGCTACATCAAAGCTATGAGATCAGATAGAGGGGGAGAATTTATGCTCAAGAAGTTCAGAAGATTCTGTGAATATCAAGGAATTCGCAGGTTTCTTACAGTCCCAAGATCCCCACAGCAAAATGGAGTCGTTGAGAGGAAGAACAGAACTGTCCTCAACATGGCAAGAAGCATGATGAAGAGCAAGAACCTACCAAAGGAGCTATGGGCTGAAGCTGTTGATTGTGCAGTCTACCTGCTGAATAGGTCACCAACAAAGAGTGTTTGGAATCAAACACCCTAAGAAGCATGGAGCGGAAGGAAACCCACAATCTCTAACCTCCGAGTCTTCGGAAGTGTCGGATATGTACACGTACCGGATCAAGAAAGGAAGAAGTTGGATGACAAAAGCAAGAAGTACATATTCCTTGGATACTCAGAACACTCAAAAGGTTACAAAATGTTTGATCCCGTGGAAGATAAGTTGATCATCAGCAGAGACGTGGTAGTTGATGAAGAAGCAACATGGGATTGGACTGCTGAAGCAAAGAAGAATTACACTTTTTATCCATTCACTATGGATGAAAGTGATGATGAACCAGATACAGCTACACCTGTGACAAGTCGACCCAGTCACAGAGAGCCTGCCAGCCCAGAAGGAGAATCTAGTGAAAGTCCCCGAGAAAGGCCACAGAAGTATATGAGACTTGAAGAAATTTATGAGGAAACTACAGCCATTGAAGGTGATGAATTGACACTCTACTGTCATTTCATTGATAGTGAACCAGTTGATGTAGAAGAAGCCATGAAGGATGAAAAATGGAAGAGAGCTATGGATGAAGAAATTGGAGCAATTGAGAAGAACAAGACTTGGGAGCTTGTGTCACTTCCTGAGAATCAGAAGCCCATCAGTGTGAAGTGGGTATTTAAAGCTAAGAAGAACGCAAAAGGAGAAGTTGTCAGGCACAAAGCAAGATTGGTGGCTAAAGGATATAGTCAGAGACCAGGCATTGACTATAATGAAGTTTTTGCTCCTGTAGCGAGAATGGAGAGTATCAGGATGGTGATATCTCTCGCTGCTCAAAATGGATGGAAGATACATCAAATGGATGTGAAGTCAGCTTTTCTCAATGGATATCTCGAGGAAGATATATACGTGGAGCAACCACCTGGATATATCGTTGAAGGTCAAGAAGATAAGGTGCTAAAGCTAAAGAAAGCACTGTATGGTCTTAAACAAGCACCGAGAGCTTGGAATAGCAGGATTGACAAGTATTTTCAGCAGAATGGATTCAGCAAATGCCCACATGAGAATGCACTATACTGCAAGCTGCAAGGGGGAGCAATATTGATGGTTTGCCTATATGTAGATGATCTTGTCTTTACAGGCAACGATCCTCAAATGTTTGAAGAGTTCAAGAAGACGATGGTTCGTGAGTTTGAGATGACAGACATCGGACTGATGTCATATTATCTCGGAATTGAAGTAAGTCAAAAGGAGGAAGGAATTTTCATCTCACAGAGTGGTTTTGCCAAAGAGGTCCTGAAGAAGTTTAAGATGGAGAATTGTAATCTTGTGAGCACGCCAGCTGAGTGTGGACTGAAACTATCAAAGGATGACAAAGGAGAGAAGGTCAACTCAACGGAGTTTAGAAGTCTCGTGGGAAGTCTGAGATATCTGACTTGTACCAGACCAGATATTCTCTACGCAGTTGGATTAGTTAGCAGATACATGGAGGTACCAACAATGTCACACTGGAATGCTGCAAAGAGGATATTACGCTACATCAAAGGTACAATCGATCATGGTCTGCTTTATACTAAGTCAGAAAATTTCAAATTGGTTGGATACTGCGACAGTGATTGGGCAAGAGACGTCGATGATCGCAAGAGCACTACAGGATTTGTATTTTTCCTGGGAGATACAGCTTTCACATGGAGTTCAAAGAAGCAAGCTATAGTGACACTGTCTACTTGTGAAGCTGAGTATGTTGCTGCAACATCGTGTGCGTGTCATGCGATATGGCTGAGAAAGTTGCTGAAGGAGTTGAACATGACACAGGAAGAGTCAACTGAAATTTATGTGGATAACAAGTCTGCCCTGGCGTTAGCAAAGAATCCGGTGTTTCATGATCGCAGTAAGCATATTGATACAAGATATCATTTCTTGAGAGAGTGCGTGGAGCATAAAGAAGTGATGCTGAAGTATGTAAAGACTGAAAACCAGATTGCTGATATTTTCACGAAGCCGCTGAAGCAAGATGTGTTCGTCAAGATGAGGATGCTACTCGGAGTTACACCGAATTAAACTTTAAGGGGGAGTGTTGAAATTAAAATAAAGTTTAATTATTGAAATAAAGCTAAAATATCAGAAAAGCCTAGAAGGGAGCTACCAGATTACGTTGGTTTGCTGGAGATGAAGAAAAATCTAGAGATGGGTAGGTTTGAATTTAATTAGGTAGTTGCATGATTGTTGAATAAAAAAAAAATAAAAAAAAAGTAGAACCACAAAAGTAAGTCGGTTTAGTGAAGATCTCTTGTATTCTAAAGCCTATAAATAGGCTGTCTTGTAATCGACAAAGAGCAGAGAGCCAAGAAGCAATATAAATAAAGCTTCCAAATCCCATTCCCTCTGCAAAGTTCTTGTCCCAATTCAAAACTCTTTCTTCCATTTGTTACCAGCTAAAAATAACGAGCTCCCCATTCC